GATTATGAAATGATCTCACTACGACTTTGTCGAAACAATGATATAAACATTTAGTGATATATATTAACTTTATTGTTAACCAATGATTTTCTTTTAAATAATATGGTATATAGTCTTTGTTAAACGTCCATTGAGTGTATATTCTGCATATAAAGAATGATCAAATCTATAGAAAAGAAATGCACTGTCATGTTACATTGTTTAAGTACTATACGAACATTTATAAGTGACTAGACATCAAAAATATATCAGAAGTAACTAAAGTATCTTGCTCGTGTCATGAAGTAAAATGTTTTAACGTGATCAGCAATGAATTATTCTACGTATGCGTAAGTTTTAATTTGTAGTTTTATAATCTTATTATCAACACATACATTATAAATACTAATTCTAGATCTAGGAAACTATACAAAATCTTACTTTAATTAGAATTATTTTGTTGAAACACTTTTATAGATTTCCTATAAAAAATCCATCTCGATAATTTATTCAACAGTTTACCGTATTTCAAAAAGTTCTTTGAATAATAGATTCAATGTTACTATATAACTATAATGAATGTATTTAACATACGAAATATAATAACAATGAGTTGATATTGAGATTTTTTCATGAGAATTTGAATTATTTTTGGTCAACAATTAATTTAAATTTAGTAACATTGTTTGACTTTTATTCAATATCGTTCAAGTGTCGAAATAATCGATCGACTGAAATATAGAATGAAGCATCAATATGATATAGATGAACAATTGAGAGAGAAATACAATCTATGTAATGTTACTTTCGATGAAACAATTACTTTATTTAAACCATATCAAATAAATCAAATTAGAATATTATATATATATTTTATTGAAGATTAATAAAGTACAACTAATTGATTACAAGAAATTCATTACATCATCACACAATAAAGATAGATAGAAGAAAGAGACAGTTAGCTTTTGTAGACAAAGATGAAGGAGAAATGATGGATCCGATTGAATTTCTTTGTTTAATAATACCAACCGCCTAAAAAATAGAAAAGATCATGATGCATATAGTGTAGAAAGAGAATACGAACCCCATCCACCTCCATAATAACCACGTCCCCAACCACCTCCATAATAACCACGTCCCCAACCACCTCCATAACCACGTCCCCAACCACCTCCCCATCCACGACCACCATAACCACCTCTCCAACCCATGGCTAGAATTTCACATTATAGAAAATATTGTGACAAATATTAAAACAAACCTTCTTGTATAAATCCACTTGCACAGAGAAGAACTAAAGCCATCAAAAGATAATTAATAATCGACGACATGATCGGTAATAATTTGTATATTCTATAATTTAATAAAATGATTAAAATCTATGAATTGAAACATATGAACTTACTAGTATCTACGAAATGACAATAGATATGTGATGATGTATATTTGTATAATGGATATTCACAGGCTTTTATAGTTAAACAAACAGAGAACAAAATCGTCTGGGCTGATATCTATATAGAATTTCTTTCTCGTCCAATTTGTATTCAGTTAACTATTATATAATATTATTACTATTCTTTTTCTTTTCTTTTTAGTGACAAAGACTTGAAAAGTGATCGATATATTCGTCCGATTGTATGAAGTATTTTTCGTCTAAATGATAGTTCGTGCAGTTTAAAACGAATACTGAATCAAATAGATCGGATTCATAATTTGTTTATATCGTTTATTTTCACCTGAGTATATCGAGAATAAAAAATAAAAATGAATAAAATCTATTTATAGAAAAATAAACATAAGAAATGAACTTAATTAAACGATTATAAAAGCAAAAAAAAAAGGAAATCGAACACATTGTTAGTTATTGTTTTTTATTTAATATTTTCGAATTTAATGGTATATCAATATCAATCCAATGTAGTAAACCTTGATGTGTTGCAACAACAATTGCCATTTTATCTATTGTCCAATGATAATCAAGAAATGATGATGAAATTTTATCGAAAGATTCAACTTGTCTCATCTAAATAATAAAAACAAAAACAAAAAGATTTCTTATTTTATTAAAAAAAATATAAATCAAACTCACTGTTAAATAACGAAAATCATAAATTTTTATTTTTGCTAGACGTGAATCATAAACTGATAGGAGATGATTTGGTGATGCTAAACTACATTTTAATTTTTCTGAGTGTCCAAATATATCTAATGTTTCATTTCGAATTGGTTCACTAAAATTATGAAATTTAAAAAAATCACCAAGAATAACTCATACAATATTTTATGTACGAATCAATTTCTACAAACGATGAATTTTACTATTTGTTTAATTCTTTATATTTATCAGTCGAAATAAATTTCAGAAAAGTTTTATTTACTGTTATTACGAAAAAAAAATCTTTATTTATTCTTCTTCATATCGATCGCTTAATTATAGTGTGAATTCTTATGATAATAATATTAAATGAACGTTTATTCTGTAAAAGTAATCTTTTCAAAAGATAATATTTTTGTTTTTAAAGTACATTATAGTTTTTCTACTGTTATGTAAAAGCTGTATAAAATAAGATAAGATAGAGAAAGAAAGGAAAAGAATAATCATAACAGACGATTAAAATAGAATGAATGAATAATTTCTCTTTTGACTGACTCGTATCGTTACATATGTTTAGTCTTTACGTGAAGATATATCGAGAAAATATTGAATACAGATCATTTGACTTTTGAACGGATTAAGACGAAGAGTGAAAAAAAAGACTATTGGTGCTCGAATCCACATTTTGCTATAACTGTACATACTAATTTTGATGGCGCATATTATCGCCTACTTAAACCAAAAAAAATACAAATTTAAACATTGAGACAGGCTGTAAGACACGCACTATATATGAAAGTACATCTGTTCTACATGTTCGCTATAATTTTTATTCACTGTTCACTTAACAAAATTTGTAACTACTTCATAAACATTATTTCTTATTGAAAACTTCAGTACATGGTCTGGTGAAAATGATTGAATGCAACTCGTATAAAAAAATCAATATGTCTGTCGGATCCTAGAACTATGAAGCCTATTTTTGTTCACTAGACGCCATTCTTCCGATATGAACTACAATCTGTCATACTGATAACAGTTTTGCAAATTTATTGAGAATAATTTCATTCAGTCATTTTTTGTAGGGTTCTATGCAGATATATACATGTTGACTCGTTCAGCGATGAAATAAAAGTCAATGTGAATTGTTCAGAAATAATTTTTCTTTTGTTTTTATTCATACATACCGACTTGCTCGTTTATCCCAAATAAGTATTTGTTGTCGATGTCGACCAACAATAATATCATTTGTTTTCCATGTACAATCAGCTAAATGTTCTTTTCCTGCATTACTCAATGTTAATTCAATAGTTTGACGTTGAAAATCAAAAATATTTATTCGATTTTGATGAGCAAGAAGTAACTAGAAAAAGAAATTTTTTGTACAATTAAATTCAATTTTTTTAAGTCATACAAGATGAGATTCAATAGGATTCCATTCGATTTTATGAAGAACACCATGATTAGGAAATATTGATTGATAAGACAAATGGCATTGTAATGAATTATAAATTTTTACAGTTCCATTTAAATAACTAATTGCAATCCGATCATTTGATTGATTAGAATCTATAGATGTTGGTGTTAAACGAGATGATATTTCATCAAGGCACTAGAAATAAACAGAATAAAATAAATAAATCTTATATATATTAAAATATACTTGTAAATTTTGTGTAGAAATATCGTTTTCACTGTTATATATAAAGGAAGTTTGTTGATTTCGATTTAATGTTGGTAAAGTTGTTAGACCAATTCTAAAGATTTAATATTTATATAGAAATTAAGTGATATATATAGAAATCATACTTAATCTGTTTTCGAGATGGTCGATAAATTGTATTTGAAAGCCAACATAAATGATTAATTTGAAAACCAAAATGATTTGTATCAACTGATTCACATACAAGTTCATCATTCTACATATAAATATTCAATAATTATTTTAGATTTATAATTTTTAAATATCAACTTACATCAAGATTAATTTGTCCAAAAGTAAAACCATCGGATGTATTACAACAAAATAAACGTGGAGCTGAACGAATATTTGAAAGAAAAAATCGACGATAAATCCAATCAGTTGTTGTTGTTACATCTGATTCCATTGATAATCAAATATTTATATTCTATAATTTGATATTGATGATTATTTTTGTTTTATAAAGAAACGAAAATAGCTCGAAGAAATACTCGAAATATCGTTGACAGTTATATAAGGTAGGTAAGATCAACATATTATTGGTATATATTAAAGCAAATGTAATGATTGAAAGGACATCTATCCTCATTTGTCGCACATATATCTATCTTGAATTTGGTTTTTTTTCGATATTGATAAAAAAAAAATGCGAATGGATTCAAGAACTAAGAAAATGTATCAGATGAAAGTATAAAGAAAGGTTACGTTTATATATTCATGTCTCAGGTATGACACTCTACGTTTCATTGTACTTAAACATCTTGATCCTATTCAACTAATACATCAATAGTATGTCTCATAATATCGTATAACATATAAGCTACTTTTCATCTTGAATTTGATACTTATATCAAAGGTATATTTCTTATAGGATAGAAATAAATGGTCAATATTCTATTATATTAGTAAAATAATGAACTTATCAATATCTGTGATTACTCTCGTTTGTTCAGTGAATCATCACATTTATGTCGGTATTCACCTTTCTTCAAATATCGTTACATCTTACAATTATATAAGAGTGTCAGGATGTAAAGAAGAATAATAGATGTTTATACCCACACCGCATAACCGTTGCTTTCTTTGAATTTTAAAAATATAGATTTCTATTCACGTGATTGTAATATTAATATGATTGTTAGATTAGTTCTAACTACAGTTCCTATTATTTAATGTTTATTTATAAAGAAAAACACAGCTATTATTTTCAAATACACATTATTCGAAAAAAAAAGAAATAATATTGAAATTTAACAAGAAACAAGATTATTAACATGAGTATTAGTATCAATGTAAACACGTTCTTTTGTTTGATTGGCATCAACAATAATAACAGGCGGTGATGAATTTGTACGTTGTCGTTGTATAAGCCATTCTTCATGACATTCATGTAAAGTTTGTAAATAACCTAAATCAATAGATTCTTCTTCTGATCGATGACGTGCTTGAATACGTTGAAGACATGTTTCAGGTGTAGCTCGAAGATAAACTATGGAAAACAAACGAATTTTATTTATTCCAACAATTCAAAAATTAAACTTACTAATAAGATCAAGATGACATAAACCATTTGAAACAAGCATTTGAAACCAATCATCCAGAATTTCATATTCAACACTATGAAGAATTTTACTTGAAAATGAAAAAAAGAAGAATAATTTTTTTTTTTTGTAAATTAAAAAATATTTACGTTCGATATAAATTCTCAACAAAACAGTATCGTGCACTATATATAGATCTTTCCATAACTTTAACAGGTGCTTTTGTTGGTTGAGCATGTAATTTTGCTAATGTCATCTGTGCATTTGCTTGAAACGCAAAACCCCATCGTTGAGGATCATCATATAACATTGCCTAGATAAATTTTATTAATACAAAAACAAAATTGAGTTTCTATTTACTAATATATTATGTCCTTTTAAATTTGTCCAATTTTCAACAGGTTCAGCAATGATCTAATATATAATACAAATACGTGTCCTATAATAATTTATAATTATCATTATTTCTTACATCACATAATGAAGATTTTGCTAGATGTTGAAGTACAGTACTCTTTCTAAATATTTAATAAAGATTATTTCTACTCTAAAAAAAACTTCTCAATATAATCTTACCCTGAACCAATATTACCTTCTACTGCAATCTGAAAAAAATCATATACTATTTAAATATTATTTAAAATCTACTTACAGTAAATTTTTTATTTGATGATGACATTATTCAAGCTATACAAATGATATTCGATCAGATCTAAATATATAAAAAATAAGTTTTTCCTTGATTCAAAACAAAAGTAAAGATTGCGGTTTTACATGTACATATAAATCCCTCGTTTTGTCTTTTAAAGAATGTATACTACACATTCTTAGCATTGAAAAACGTGCTTACACTTACAAATTCTAGAACTATAATTTGTAAAATTTTTGTGTATAAATTACTCACTATTCTTAAAACGACCAACAAAAGAATTTTATCTACATATCTTTTGTTCATAGAATTAAACCAATAGAAAGAAATGTTTTATTTCATTTCGAAATATTTCACATAAAAAAATGTGTACATATTAAATTTGCTATAGAATCCGTTATATCTTTATCATTCGAATAAACGCGATTACATATTCATGAAAAGCGACCTCTTGTTTTCTTATATATATATTCGTTCGATTTATTATTTTATTCGTTAATTGAACTATCCGATAGATATTTCTAAAGAAAACATGATAAAAAACCTTTTCGTATGTTAAATTTAACTCGATTTGATCTATTTTCAAGGTAGAGATATGAAGTTCATTGAAGAAAATTTAAATTATAGTCAATTCATGTTTTCTTCTTAAAATTGATTAATGAATAAATAGAAGAAGGTAATATTATTTGAGTAAATAACATTGCATATCTATCATCGGAAAGATTCTTGAGACAATAGTTTATCGATATTGTACAGTATTAAAATACGCCGTGTTGTTTGTGGATATTTATTGTTTTTTGTAAATATTAACTAATAGATTACGAAGTATAGAAAATAAGAAATAAAATGTCTGGCACTTGAATACACAAAGATATGCATATTGAAAAATCAGTTAGATAGTTAACTCTACTAGTGGATTAAGGACTTTTTATTGTATAAGACTAGGGATAGTCATTTTTAGTGTCCTGCTTACTAGAAACAATCATGATCATTCTTTAGTTCTTTCTAGACAATATAGAATTAAATGAAAATTTTATTAAAATAATCGTAGCCGGTCTAATGAAGAATTGACCCACATGTAACAAATATCGAGTAATTACGAAGAATTTTTATGATTTAAGATGTAATTGTATTAACTAAAAAGTATAGCCTTTGATTAATAATGTCAAACTTTTTGAATGTCATATAAAAATAATTTTCTTTCTTATGAATATGAAATGTATGACATATATATATAAAATGAATAAGTAAAATCTGTTACTATTTTTTGCTCTCCGACAGTTTGAAGTACCAGGTAATCTCTATTAGATACATTTGTTAATTAGAGTTTAGTATCACCACCTATGGTTTATATGTATTGCAATGAAAAACGAATTATTTCGAAATTTTAATGTCACATCGATTATCAAGGTGTACACAGGTTAATCACATGTCACGACATGAAATATAATTTATAGATAATCTTTTTAATGAAATTTTGATAGATTTTCGTATTACATAGACTAGAAAATTCAAAGAATAACTAAAACATATGAAATATACTCTTTGAAGTTCATTCGAATCCATATTTCACTTGAATGATCATTTATTTCTATTGAATATTGTATTGATTTCGAATGTAATCAAATACTCTAATATATTTTCACTTTGTCAAAGTAACATGTTGGCCAATCATTTATGAATTATTCTTTTTCTTTCTTTAACATTAACTTAAATCATATTTAATACGACTGAATATGTGAAAATTACTTTGAAGAACGAAAAAGAAAAAAAAAATCGAACTTCTTTTTGTATTCATTGAAAAAATGGTATCGATGAAAATGATACTCAATCATCAATCGTAACACCGATAATAATTATTTGAAACAAATAAATTAACTTATTTAAAGAAAAGACAAATGGTTAGAAAAATTCAACAAAATCGATTAAAACAAAAATTTATTAAAATTGGTACAAAAGATAAAGGTAGAATCTTATTTTCTTAATCTATTCTATCGATATTTTATCTTTAGGTGGAACAATGAAAATTTTTGGAGATTCATTAAATCCTTCGATACCATATAAAACATTTCTTTTATCAATAAATGATACTGCCGAATGGGTTGTTAAAGAAATGCTTGAAAAATATGGATTTAAACATGAAACTCCAAGAAATTATTGTTTAGTACAAGTAAAACAAAATTTTCATCGAATTTTTTTGATTTTGAAAAAACATTCTCTTTAAGATGATCATTCCACCATACAATCAAATCGATACTAAATCTATCAGTGAAACAATACTTCATGATAAGGAATGTCCGTTAAATATTTATTTAAATTATACACAAAAAAATCAAGGTTAATAGTTAGATTTTATCTATGTAGTGTAGTATTTTCAATAGAGATATTTTCCCTTGTTGTATGTTTATAAAAATCCACCTATTTTAATTCAATATGAGTGATATAACAGTAGAAAAAGAAATCATTTAATAACTAAGTGCGTACCAAGGATTGATAGTAGAATCTTAGTATTTTTAAGACACTGTTTAATATTCGTAAAATTTAAGGATCAATTGTATTTAAAATAATCAAATGTCCATTGGCATTTTTGGAAATTCGTGAACGACTTCAGGCACAAGAATTAGCTTTAAATATACCTCAGTTACCATCGATACAAGATCGAATTATTAATGATCATCTTCCTATGTTTATTGAAATTAATCCTGGTAAAAATAGTTTTTTTTATTTATGTAAATCAAATTATAATCGAAATTTATTTTAGATAATACGAATATTACAGCACCACGAGTATTTAAAGTTTATCCGGATATAACACATGTTGGTCGTGATACAAAAGCAGGAATTGGAAGACAATATTTTTTTGTAAATATTTTTATTCTATAATAATTTCGAGTAAAATTTTACTGAAATTTAGATTGATGGTTCTGGTATTGATCGTGATCATTGTGCAATAGAAAATCAACATGGTACTGTTAAAATAATTCCACGTAGTGAAGTACAAATAAATGGAAAACTTATTATAACACCTTCTATACTTAAACATGGAATGATTATTTGTTTCGGACGAAATTCAACATTTCGATATTATGATCCACAAATAGTTCAAAAAATTAAACAAATTTTTATACCAAACCGAAAAAAATCATCTGTGTATAGTTCTGAACCAATATTATTAAAGAAAACAAATAATTTTAATTTAACAAAAGTATATAGTCAACAGAAGAAAATACCGTCAACAAATAATATTGATGCAGAGTATTTAAAATAATTTTTATTTTCGACAAAAAAATTAGATCTGTTATATTTTAGAACATTAATCGATGTTTTACCCGGTTTATTGAAAGTTCCGAATGAAAGTAAGATTGCATATGAGAAGTAATTTGAAAATGATATCTATCTAAAAGTTTTAAGACATACTGATTTTCTCAGAACGAGTGGCGGTGCGAAAGGCTAAAAGCAGAAGTGAGGTGGTGATCAAAAAACGAGAGAAAGAAAAAAACATTTCTGTCTTCACTGCCCAAAAACCACAACTAATGAGAAAAAAGTCCTTGATTTAGTTTTTAGAGGGTTCTGATGATCTGTTAATCAGTTTTCAGATCCGAAACAGGAGAAAGCAAGTCCGAAAATGGGAGCAAATTCAGTCATTTTTTTCAAAAGTAGGAGGGGGTACTCCCTTTACCCCCCCCCCTCTCGCCGCCATTGCTAAGAACTTTACATTATAGTCTTAATAAATATTAGCGAGATGGTCTTTAATACTTTTTCCATGAATTTGAAATACATATGAAGATTCACATGTTTAATATATATTGTAAATATTTATTCTAGGTGAAAATCAATTTCTTCATACTGTTTTTGATAATTATCCATTAAATACTATCCATTTTCGTTTATTACCTACATATACACTTTATATGACATTACGATATAATCTTTCATCATATCAAAAATCGAATGTATCATTTCTACAAAAACAAGAAGATGTTTGTCCATTACTCTATCGTATTGATGATATGATAAAGAAGAAAATTGAAGTAAATTTTTTTAATTCTTGAAAAGAAAATAAAACCAACAATTAATTTTATAGGAATGTCAAGAACATGCTGGTTATCTTGCATATTGGTTAGCGAATACATCGGAAATTCTTTATTTTCTTAAACATGATCGAGATCTATCAAAAATGTCTACTCATATACAAACTCATTTAACTTCATATATTCAACGTTTATTACATTATTTAATAGATATTTTACAAAATGAATTAGATAAATGTTTAACAGGATTTCTTAGTCCACATGATAATATTGAACGACATATTCATATTGATAAATTTACTGATACACGTTGGATAATATTAGAACAAATTCCTAATAAATATCATCAATTCACATTTGATGATATTCTTGCAATACTTTCATCAATTATGGATTTATTATGTAAATGTCGTGTTAATCCTGCGTTTACAATACAAATTTTTTCACAAATATTTCTTTATATAAATACATGGTTATTTAATCGAATTATTTGTTGTCCAGAATTAAAATTATGTTCATCGATATGGGGAGAAAAATTCTTAATTCGATTAAAATCTATTAAAAACTGGGCACAACGACAAGGCTTAGAACTACAATGTGAATGTTATCTAATGAAATTAAATCAATTATGTTTATTATTAAAAAATTCGAAATATGATGTATATGATGTACAAAGATTAATATCGAATAATACATTGAATATAAATTCATTACAAGTAAAACAAATATTAAATAATTATATTTCGGATAGAAATGAACCACCAATTGCCAATAGTTTTAGTGATGCGTAAGTTTTCTTTTAGAGAAGTAATTCATTTGTAAAGGATAGAAGGAGACGATAGAAATAAAGAAGATTACCTATGTAAAAGCGAAAGGATATAGAATTTGACTCAATGGATGTGGGAACGTTGCCGACTGTTCAATCTCGGTGAAATTTGATCTTTGTGTAAAAGATAGGCTGTAGTAAAATATTGAATCCCCTTAGGCCTTCTATATATGAGTAGCATACTCTGAAAGGGAGATTTCCTCCACAAGATATCAAAGTCGTAAAAGAAACAGAAACTGAGACTTTAAAATCTCATTTTTAGGATATAATACTCATATATAGACCTCTCTGTAACAAATATATCGCCATTCGATTTATTAGTATATACTAAATTATAGACTAAGGTCAAGTTCGAAAATTTTAGATTCGATGGACTAGAAAGATGAAAATTTCTGCTTGGTTACAACTTCTGACTTTTATGTGAACAGAATTTCAAGATGTATTCTTCCTATTTTTGTTCCGTATATGTACAGATATATGAGATTGAAATAATGACAAAGTATAGATTGATTTTCTATGACTTTTAATAGATCTATGTTAAACAAAACCTGAAAAGAGTTAATAGAGAAAAGCGACATCCATCGACAAACAAACGTATGGATTTCATTTTCTAGATTCAATCCAAAAGAAAGTCTATAAAAATTTTAATAGGCTAAAATAGACTCGAGAGAAAAAAACTTGATTTCACATATAATATACTCCATGAATATAAACTTTCAACCGAATAATGGTCGATACTAATCTATCTAATAATAAATTTGTCTATCCATCTGTTTTTGTAGATATTACATACAGTCTATTCGAAAATGAATCATTTTTTTTCTTTAGTCTTCTTTCTGCTGCTTATAAACAAGTTGACGAAAATTTACATTCACAAGGTCTTATTATTCAATTAGCTGAACAAATCGATTTAAATCCATCATTTCTATTACCAGAAGATGGATATACATTTGAACAACTGCAAGGTATACCTCAACAATTATTTCAATTCATTGAAACAATGAGTCAATCAACATTATGTCGATTATTTATAAATCCACATAGTCGTGGAATGTGGACTGAATTCATGGAAATATCTAATGTAAATAAAAAAAAATATATATACATATATAATTTCATTTCTTCAACTTATTTAGATGAAAAATAATACTAAAGATTATGATAAAATAGAAACGATTGTATTAAATAAAAAAGAGAATAGTCTTGGTTTAAATATTGTTTCAGTAAAAGTAAAAGCAACTAATTTCATTTTAAATGTAATCTAGAATTATTTTTCTAGAGTGATAATCAACAAGTTTATGGTATTTATATAAAAGGAATCATACCAAATGGTGCAGCAGATAATGATGGACGTCTTCAACCGGGGGACCAAATTCTTACTGTTGATAATATTAGTCTTATCGATGTAACACAAGAACAGTAAAGAAAAATTGAAATGTTATATTTTTTTGACTCTCTTTTTCTTCCAGAGCTGTTGATATATTGAAACAATGTGATAATAAAATTACATTAGAAGTCCTCAAAGATGCAGCTAATCACCATGGTCTTTCAAGTTTACTCAGTACATCATCAAATCCTTCTTTAGTATCATTCCAATCTTCGACATTTACACGTCCTGTTCATCAACTACAAAATTCAACTCCTGTTACTTCATCATCTACTCAACCATCATATTCATCTCAGATATTAAATGATCATGCATCAGAAGAACAACAACAATCAAATTCAAATCTTTCTTATGCAAAACAATTTGATAATCATGAAAAAAATTTCATTCGTTCATCTAATCAAACACAATCATTTATCAATCGAAAAACATCATCATCAAATCGATCATTAGTCTTTCGTGAAGATGTTCCACCTGATCAAAATGACAATTATCGAAAAAAACCAAGTACACCATCTAAAATAGTACTAAAATCAATTCTTCATTCAGATCCATCAATCCGACAAACCAATTTAGTATATCATCGTTATATAAAAATCAAAAAATTAATATTCTTTTTCTTTAGGTCAACGATGTTAATCTCTCGAATCGTTTATCATCATCAATGAGGTAAATCTATAACCAGTTATTATAGTTAGATAGGAATAAAAATTAAGTTTAATTGAACTATTACAAGATCGTGTAAGATATACTAAATGTTGCAATAAAACGATCTATTGCTTATTCAGACAGACGAAATATTATGTGTGTGATTTTTGTTCTATTTAAAGAAAACAACGTGAACCAATTCAGTTGATAAATACATATCAAAAGAGTATCAAAGAAATACGTTTAGAACGTATTAACGATTTAATATTTAAAATTAATCGTACTGAACAAGAAGAAAAAGAATTAAAGTATGATAAATACAAATATTTGGGAAAATTTCTTAATATAGATTTTTTTTTATAGAAGTTTACAGTTAGAAGATGAATTTGATCGTCGTGTTGAAGAATTTTATTATCAAATAAATGAAAATAATACTAGAGAAGTATATATATATGATTGATAATCGTTTTAAAAACTAACGTCTTATTTTATAGATTTCTCCTCGAACATCAACTGAAATGAATGAATTTGATGAAAAGTAAAAATTTATATTTTTTGAAAATTGGTTTATTTCTCAATAAATTTTAGATTAAAACGTCGTTTGAAACAATTCGAACAAGATCGAGAAATTGAACGTGCACAGATTAATCAAATGTTAGCCATACGTCAAGCACGTTTATCTAAAAATTCAGTAAATATACTTTTTATTGAGTTTATTTCTCAGTCAAAATATATTTTATCGACATATAGGATTTTGGCGTTTATTCTAATCACAATCATTAAAATTCGACAAATATTTGAAATTAAAAAATCAAAATAATTTTATTTTATTGACAAAAATTATTATAAAATAAATGTTCTGTTTTGTTTAAATAATCATTGTTTATATTCATTTGACTTTTCTTTTGTTTAAATTAATTTCTCAGATTTTTATCTTTCTTATGGCGATGATGAATGATTGTGATCATAGTTTACTTGTATGGATTGATTTGGAAATGAGTGGACTTGATTTAAATATTCATACAATTGTTGAAATAGCAATAGCAATTACGGATTTTCATTTAACAAATTATATTGAAGGTTTAGATTTAATTGAGAAAATTTAATCTATTATATAGTTTCTATTTTTAGGACCGGATATTGTTATTCATCATGATCAAGATATATTGGATAAAATGAATGATTGGTCAAGAGAACAACATACAAAATCAGGATTAATTGAATTAATTCGTCAAAGTCAAATATCATTAGATCAAGCCGAAACAACAGTTATTGATTTTCTTAAACATTATTGCCCATCTGGTAGTGGAATTTTAGCTGGAAATTCAGTTTTTGTAGATCGATGGTAAGGTGTAATATCTTGTCTTTCGAAATTCTATCATCCGAAAAGAATTCAAATGGATGAGTGTAGGAATGTATCGAGGCAGTCTCGGTTTTGTGAATTTTGATGACGCCAAGTTTCTAAAATGTTCTTTAAAAGGCCAAATTATGAGTCAGGAAATGTACAAATGTGATTATAGAACGACACACAGATAGTCTCTCAAAGTCCCGAGACCGAGAGGATTGTTGTAAAACATTGTGTTAGAGCTCATTAAAAAAACTAGCGGGTAGTTCCATTTTTCTACCTCTCATGCGATTATTCTTCATTTCGTTGTTAAGAAAAGGCATTTCTCTTTATTAATAGCTCGAGAATGCAGATTAGTGTGATAAGTTTCAAACATAGTTATAAGATATCATTCTATTTTATCTGGTTATATGTTACTTTTCGTCGGCTAAAACAAAACTCTGATAGTATTGATTCTTAATACTTGTCCTCTCCAATAAGAGAATCAATGAATTTTATAGATGAATGAACGTTGCTAAAAAGAGTATTTTATGTGTCAGTACATGTAATCGACGTTTAAAGTCTGTTGAATATTAGATATAAAAACTTAGAATTTTCTTTATGTCACTAAAATCTATTTTTATAACCGAATGATAAAATTTAAAGTTTAAAGCTTTGAATTAGACAATATGAATGTTATTCATCTTCTTATTTAAAAACTTAAATTAATAATTTTTACTTGATTTGTTGAGTTATTCTAATGGATCACTTCACTTTTAACAATGATATATTATGTCCTTCCAGTATATAAAACAGTATAATTCTTTAGGTTTATTGAAAAATACATGCCACGTCTTAATGCCATTCTTCATCCAAGTATTGTTGATTGTATGTAAATATATATATATATTTCTCTATTTCAAATTTAACATCTATATGGGATTAATTTTCAAGGTAGTACTCTCAAAGAATTAACATTACGTTGGCAACCTATACGATATACAAAACGACCACATAAACAAATGATGCATCGAGCACGTGATGATATAAAAGAATCAATTAATGAACTTACTCATTATCGTCAACAGTAATAATAAAATCCCAAATTTTCTTTTTTTTTCAACAGATTATTTTTTCTAGTAATTTTTATTTTGGTTATCATACTATTCGAAATCCACCTTATGTACCTGCACCAGTTCTTTCTAATCCACGTACTCATCTTGTTTGGTTAAAAACTGATTCTGATGAAGTCAATCATATATATGTGATTATAACCGATGGAAATCTTAATATTTTAAAAGATCTATATGTTGATATGACTAATAAAAGCAATCATTATTCTTTATTAGTTGGTTTTTTACAAAAAAATATTTTAGTTAATCGAAGTTCTCCTATTTGTGGTCAATCTGTTTATATAGATCGTGCAAGAATACAACGTGTTGTACCAGAATTTCTTACATGTTGTCATTATCGAAGTATTGATGTAGATGTTTTAAATGTTCTTTGTCGAAGATGGGCTAAGAAAGTCTACGAAAATCGACCGTAAATTAATTTCTTTTTTTTTTTTTGCTAATCAAAATTCTCTTTATATGATTTTAATGCTCTTTGTTTTATAGAATAATATCGACTGATTCGAAAAATCTTATAGCAGAACTTCAAGGATCAATTCAATTGTTACAATATTATCGTGCGAATGTATTCAAATCAGATCTTTTTGTACAAGATAAACAATAGTAAACAAGAGAAAAAAAAGCGAATGTGCATATTATGAAGGACGATAAAGAACATATTGATAAATAAAAGATAAAATGAGAGAAGGATATATGTGTTTATAAAGTACAATATCAAGTATTTGATAAGACAGTGATCTAACACTGTTGTCCTATCATAAAAAAAAGAGAGAAATGGTAAGAATCACTACCATTTCTCTATCTATATCATAAAATTATTATGAAATGACAAGAGTACAGAGATGAAAAGGTAAGAAGCATATATGTATATATATTACATATGTTAATATATTTCATTGCCAAGACAAATAATGTGGAAGAACGATGAAATGAATAAGAATTTTGTCAGTTATTGCTTAATCAAATTTGAAACAGATTCTTTTTCTATTGAATCAAATCTTAAAGCTTTCTACAAACAATTTGAAAGATGAATGTCTATAGACGCGCGTATCCGATTTAATTTTTTTCTTGTTCTATACATAAACTTGTTTGATAATGTTTTTCTTATTTAAATCGAATTTATTTAGTATCTATTTATTAATCATATTAATTTCCTTTATTATTCATAAATTGTTTCTTTTCTCTTTCATTAAACAATATTTTTCCTATCTTTCATTATATATACTCATCATTAGTCTATTAGTAAGCAATGATTTTCTATTAATTTTAATCTATGAAAATATTTCAAATACATTCATATATATTCTTCTCAGCATGGATGCTATTTTAACTGGTATACTTCTTACTCTTATTGTACATATTTATTCATATATTTGGTCTATTATTCATCTTTTTCTTACAATAAGCCTTATTACAATTTCATATTATTCAAATTTCAATATATTTAAAAAATCCGCTTTATTCTCGAATTATTCTATTGATATTATTTTTCTTCTTATTAATCTTTTTCATATTCTCTATTGTTTTTTGAATGGTTTACAAACATATATGCATCGTATAATAGCATTAAGTGGAATGTGTCTAGGATTTTATATAATATTATTTCAAGAATTTGTTAATGAATTTAATATTTCATTACCAATGATTATTATGCATTTTGTACAATTATTCCGGACATTTTTTCTTTATTCAGTTGTCATTTGCGTTCGTAATCGAACGTCGTATTGGCAGAAATAAAAAAAAAGCGTTTTTTTTTCAAGAAGCAGAGAGGAAGAGAGAGAGGGAGCGAAAGAAAAATCCCGAAACGTTATATGATGTTGTTTTTTCAACCAACAACACCTACTATATCGGTGTACTGTTTTGCTAAAAGGAAAAGAAGGAGAAAAGAAACGAAGAAAAAAATGAATTTATTTCGTATTGCTTTTTGCGTTTTTTTTTTTGTCAAGTGTCTGATTAATAAATATAGAATGAATGCAAACTAGAGTCATGTTTTCTTTTCACATGTACATGTTAGGTATTCTACATTTGTTGTTGTTACTATTGAATAGAAGCATTTTACTAATCTTTTTCTTGCTTATTTGTTCTAATAGTTATTATTAAGGTCTTCATGACATTCTTTTTTCTTGAAATTATACGATATCAGATTTTCTTCTATTATATAATAATATGTCTATAGATATGTTGGATGGCTTTACATAAATTATCAAAACCGAAAACATTTCATGTTGATTATTGTGGTTGTACAGCAGCGGCATTACTTTTAAATGATCAAATAATACGAGATGCAATTGATGTTATTCGTAAGGAAAAAACAAAACGTGATTTTGTTAAAACAACAGTTACAGTATCAAAAGATGGTGTAAAAATTATTTATAATAATGAACAAAAATTTTCTACAAGTGTACCATCGTCAATGATTGCTGGTTCAACTGTAGGTAAATCATCTTTACATGATACTGTTGGTAAGTTATTCAATTTTTCTTTTCGTGAATAGAAGAATGTATAATAAATATTGTAATTAGGTGTTGTATATATTTCACCATTGACTGGTCAACATTATCCAGCATTTGTTCATGTTTATCGATGTGATTCATCACGTACTGCTCAAAAATTTCTATCTCGTTTACGTGCATATATGCTTATTGAAAGTCATCGTCTTCAAATTATTCAATTAGAACAACATTTACTTAATCGTAAATTATTAAATATAGATCGTTTTAATGCAGTTCAAACACAAAAAACTGATACAGGTGTATCATCATCATCAGCAGCAAGTAGTGATAGTCGACAAGAAAATATAACTAATAATCCAATGAAATCAATAACAGAAGAATTACAAAGAAAAATTGAATCAAATGAACCTATTCTATTTCCACCTAAAGATTATGATACAGTACATGCGAATCATGGTAATGTTCAACGAGCACAAGCATGGAAAAGTACAGAGGTAAAAAGAAAAACATATTTTTTCTTAGATTATTATTTATTACCATTAATATTATTTTGAAGGTCGTCTTACTTTTTTTTTATCAATCAATAACTCATTAATTGTATTGAGCTAAATACGATGTCATAAGAAAAAGAAAGAAAGAAAGAAATCCTTGTTGATGTTAGTCTATGTAAAAAAAGAACAAAAAAAAAGAATATATATACATTTAGTGAGCGATTACTTTCTCTCTTCGTATTCATGATCTAAAGTAACCGATATTGTCGTCGTCATCGTCGTTGTTGCCGCCTCTTTGTCATCATCTTCTATTGGACAAATACACATACTATTTCTGTCTCTCTCTCTCTCTCTTCTATACTCCCACTTTAACTATGACGACAATATTCGATCATATTATGCATTGATTGAACGATTACCATCTGCACTTCTTTAGTCTATATGTCTGAAGTAGAGTACATGATCATTCTTTGCAAAAGTATTATATGATATAATCATTGAATATGGTACGTCTTAAACATGAGTTTCAGACATCATCAAGTTTTACAACACTTCTCACTACTAAATTACGTTCTAGTTATGATATGTGTTTTGGATCGAAGGTGATTGATATTTTATTATTTAATATAATGAAATATGATATTACAAATTCAATTTTTTATTTTTGTTTCATAGCCGACGATTGTTGGTTATACAACAGTTGATCCAGATGATAATAGAATACGTCAACATGTACAAGCAAATTCTCATTCAACTACTGATGATCATAAAAACAATCATGTTCTTGAGAATCGTATGGCAAGACCACAGTTATCTTCTCATAAAAGTGATGCTACAGTTGATCCCGTATGAAATTTATTATTAAATTATGTTTTATATAGTATACAAATTGATTTTTTTGTATATTTATATAGGTAGAAACTGTTAGTATTGCTTTTGATTTTCTCAAAGATGAAACAGATTCAGTTTTTACTGATCATGATGGCAACATTGAACCTATGGAAAATCAACAACAAAATAGACCACCTATTTATCGCTATCGACCACCACCGATTACTGCTATGAATAAGTAAGTATTATGATCTTACAACAATTGTTTAAAATAAGTTCTATCTTCTTTTATAGAAAATTATTTCCTCGAAATAATAATTTTGAATTAACAAGTAATGTTTTACAATCAAATTCATCATCACGAAATGATGTAAATACACATCATAACAATAATAATCATTATTCTTCTCAGTATCACTTACAAAATGGACATAAAACTCCTTCTGAAACACGTTTATATCATGATCAACAACGTAATATGTATCTCAGTCCTCATTATGAACATCGTCTCGTAAATGGTAGTGGTCTTCCAATTACAACCAATCCACTATGGACATCTACATCATCTCTCATAGCCGGTTCTCAACCAAATCTATTATCATATCAAAATGGTGTTGATTCTACACCTTTTCATCGTCAATCAAATGCACAAATGAATGGACGACTACCTCCTACAAATTTACAAAATTCTCTTTATTCGAGTTATCCAGATAATCGATCAGAAATGTTGATACCTAGACAAAAATCATCAATACCAGCTCAACAACAACAACAACTTAATAGAAAACAAAAAACACAATCACAATATTTTGAAACAAATGAATTTATTTTATGTTCATCTGACGGTCAACCATTGAGACATTCACAATATCCTAATCGACATATTACAAAAGATTATAGACCTCATTCAATGAATGTGAATGGTACTTCACTTGATGTATACTATTGATTTTTGTATTAAGAAATTCCTATTCACATATGTTTCTAAAAACAACAGTGAGAGATGATTACTTACCGATGTGAGTACGTAGCATCTACTAAGCCTATATATATTTTTTTTTTGACAAACTATTTGTTTTTATCGACAATTATTAAAATATTACCAAACATATGCTTCATTTTCTTAAATAGTAGTTTTGTGTTGCTTTCCGAGTATGAACAAGAATCTATAAATATGTATATGTTAACATCTCTTATATTTCAATCAAATATACTAAATTTAATTCTTGCTTTATTTTATTTTCGCTCAATTTATTATTCATATTTTAGCATAATTATAAAGGTGTATGTATATACATGTCAGGCATGATAAATGATCATATATTAGGCAATAATTGACACATAGTATACCGTTTATATTAGAAATATTTTTTCTTGTTGAATAAATATATATTTTGTCAAATGATTTATTATAATTATCTTTCTTAAATTCAGACGGCAAGGTCATCATAATCCATCTGATGATTAATAAATATTAATATGTGTATTCTTAAATAAAATTCAAGTCACTGTTATTACCTACACTCGCTGTTTCAATATCAATAGCGAGGTAGGAAACACAGTGAAATGGATATTCGAATTATTGAATATATATATATAGATTATCGAAGATTTCTTAAAATAACATATTCGAAAAAATTTTCAATCTTTTGTTTTCAAATAAATATCTTTAAATATCGAATTGATGTATTTTTCATTTGCGATATTTCTATTTCTAATCGATCTGATAACTAATCTATTATTAGATGCTATAAACTATATTGTAGCATATAAAATCTCTAAAAATAAATCAATTAGATATTTTATTTATAAATGAGAAAAATCTTAAGTTGATTTAGGGTGAGGATGTGTGATTACCATTGGAAAACTTGAATCATTCGTTTTGGAGCTTTTAATTTTGTTCAACAATTATTTGAGGAATTCTACCATATCCGGGTCCATCAATCCCGTATTCGGATCCTATGCCGGATTCTATCGGAATCCGTTGTGGTCGGATCCCATCGGATCTCACAATTTCCAACAAACGGATATAGACGGATCCGATAGGTAACCATAAGGCCATCATGGAAAATAGCTAAAAACGCCGCTCATCAAATTTGCAGCAAGTGACTGAAAATTTTCCGACGGAATCCAATGCAAATCCGTCACCAGGAATCCTATCGGATTGTGTCGGATGATCGGATCCAACATTGGATTGGTTGACGTGGGTTTCGAATTTCTTTATAAGCAAATATATTGTTCATTGTTTTTTTTATTTTATCAATGATAAAATCACATTTATATATATATTATTTAAATATAAAAGACATAGACCACAAAATTTTATCACGAATTTGAACACACATATTAAGAAAGAAAAAAAAATGTATTTAGTAACAAAGTATCTAGACATTATTCACTTTGAAGCACGCTTATATATGGTACATAAATAAGAAAAAAAAGCTTTTGAGACATGTTAATTAGAAATACTGTTGGAAGTTCAAAGTACAAAAATTTTACATAACTGTACGAATTACATCTTTTGTTGATACTTCATCTTCATTATATGCAGGATTGTCTCTTGAAGTAGTTATAGCAGACTCCATTCGTTCATCATCATCATCATCATCATTTTCATCATCGGCTTGTTCTATATCACTAATATTTTCCATATTAGAACGTGTAGATGCATTCGTATCAACAGCACGTCGTGTTGTAGTTGATGAATCACTTAAACTACCATATCGTCGTACATTTGTTGATGGGCGTTCGAATACAATTTCTGTTGTTGTTGTTGGCCGTGATGATGTCGATAAACTTTCAGTACTTTCTGATGATTCATTTGATGTAAATGAAATATTACGAACGCCATTAGTTGATGGACGAAGCAAATGACGTTCTAAACGATAAAAAAATATATTGATCTTATTTATTCTTTTTTATAAAATTTTACGTGATGATTGTGAATTTTGTGATATATCCATAGTTGAATTAGTATCATTGGAATGAATTAATGGTGTTTGTTCTGTATGTACTCTTACTCGTGGAGGATCACTACTTTCTTCATCGGAGTTATGTTGGTTAGGAAAGACATATCGTTTGCATACCGGGCATTGTCGTCGATTATTTATCAACCATGGATCAATACATTTCACATGATATGCTAAAAATAAATAGGTTCATAGAATATATTCTAAAAGAAAAAAAAGATAACAAACCATGATCACAGGGTAATATTCGTAGTTTTGCTCCTTCTTCGAAGTCATCCAAACAAATAACACATACTTCCCATGGATCAGTTTTGACAAATTTTTTTATTTTCAATTGTTTTAATGCTGATCGTGGTAAACGATGACGTTGCATACGACGTCGTTGTAAATGATATTTAACTAACTAAATTTAAAGTTTCTTAATGTTATATTTATAAGTTGAAATCAAAAACTTACGACAAAACCAATAAGACCAAGAAATGAAACACCAATAACTACAACAAATGGTATTAAATAAATACCAAATTTAAATGGTTCTTCAGGAAGTATTTTCAGATGATATCTATTTAAAAAAAATGATTATTGATATTGTAGAATAGCCATTCATCATAATTATTTTATTGAAAGTCAAAAACAGTATACGATGAATTATATTGATAATAGTTGTATCATAGATAAACAAGAATATCTATCTTTAGTTATTTATTAAGTTCAATACACGATACAAAAAAAAACAAGTCACTTTTCATAGGTCCACCTTTTCCTTAACTATGCTATATAGTTAGCATCTTTCTTCATCTAGCTAAAGGCTCATGCTTTGATTGGGAAACAAAATTTTGTTATATATATTGTTTATTTTTTTTGTAAGCGTAAAGTTGTATTCTATAAACAATATATTAGTTGAAAATATTCATAATCTACATACTGATCGATTGTATCTACCTTAACATATTTATTATAGAAATATACTCAAAATTACTATATAATCAACTATTCTTCGATGCTGATATATTTACATTAATTTCATATGTAATCTAACTAATGGATATTATTTATTTCTACACGATATTTCATAGATAGTTATTAAAATAAATCTTACATCGGAGTTGAATTAACTGTTGTTTCATTATACAAATAATGTGAAATCAATGTTAAACCATCGGTATGAGTAATTAATGTTGATGGTATATGTACATCTAAATTTAAAATGAATGTTATTGAATATAATTTTCTCTGTTCTTACTTTTTGAAGATGAGCCCATAGCAACTAACGTATCTTCATAATTATAAATTATCACAGCACTAAAATTCGCATTTTGTGCATTTTGTACCTACAAAAATATGACATATTTAAAAATCCCATACCAATCATTTTTTCGAAATTTACTTTAGTCATAAATTCACATGAATCGCCACTTCTGGTCCGTGGTATAAGTGCAATCCAACGATATCCATATGTTGGAATATTAGGTGGTGGTAATATCTTCTGGCATGCATTTGGTGGATTTGTTATTGTAATATAACCCTTTATTTTTTAAATAAAGAAAGAACAAAAAAATGCAAGAATGCAACTATGAAAATATTTTGCTTACTTTTAATCCATCCGACGGAAATGATGGACCAAAATTTGCATTTTGATCTTCATAATTATTAATTACCTTGTTTGAATTATTATACTATATGTAAAAAATAAAGATTTTTAGTGCAATTCAAATAAATTTAATTCCTATCATACCACGAATATATCTGATACAGTTGTTTGAATAGTTGAGAATAACAAATACGACAATAAAAATTTATTGATCATTATTCAATTGACAAAAACAGAAGTTGTTTGTCGGAAGTAGCTCTATAATATAATATGTTGAAATTTATTTACTTTAATATTATTATCATCATCATGAGTTAGTAAAAAGCGAGTTTTTTTCGTGTTGGTCAACTGAACGATTCGAATATTTATGATGTATGAAAGATGGCAGTAGTATTTGGCGTAATTAATATATTTACATAATCATCCTATTTCAATTATATTATATCTTTATTTTAAACGAAAATCTTAACATTGATTTAAACTTTTTAAGGATAATTCTTTGTCGCTAGTAGTTATATGTGAGCAATTCATGATTGTTCTTCTTTATGTATTATTCATGAGCATCACATGTTATTCTTTCTACTCTGTCAATCCAGAAGTGTAATGAAGCAAGCGGTTTTTTTTCAATGAACAACTATTTATTGCGAAATATGTATTTAACCTTTTTTAAAGTAGCATATTTCGAAATTTCGCATTTCTTTTTTGTATAGAACACACCCCTCGTATTTTTATGTCGTATATTTATTTCACTTTCGTTCTATCACATGACAGTTTATTATCTTGTGACCTCTTGACGGCACATGACTACAAGAATACTTTGAGTATAAAAAACAGCAAATAATTGTTTCTTTATGTATTTTTAGAAGCGAACAAATGAGTACTACAAAATCTACAATTACAAATCAAATGACAATTATGTCAAAATTACCGAGTGTTTTAAAATGTAATGGTCCTAAACTTGTACCATTTTTTAAGACTGTTGCAATATTTTTTATACTTTTTCCCAAAGCTAAATATAAAACTGCTGATATGTTCTATTTAATATTTAAATGTTTACCAATATGTTCATTAATTTTATTTATACTATTAAATGGAATTAATTTACGTGGTTTTGAATATTCATATTCGCGACGAATTCTAACTGGTTTAGCTTTTTCATTACTTGGAGATGCATTACTTGTTTATGATCATTCATTTTTCATTCATGGTGTTCTAGCATTTGGTATATCACATGTTTTATATGCTACAGCATATGGTATGAGACCATTAAGAGTATTTATGTTACCATTCATGGTTTTACCAGTTATTGTTATTTATTTAATGCTTTCTGGTGTTCTCTATAAACCATTATCATATGTTGTAAGTAAAATTTTTTAACATATGAATCTTATTTTTCTTAATCTTTATATATAGATTTATGCATATATTTGTTTAACAATGTTTATGATATGGAGAGCAATGGCAAGAATAAAAATTGATAATAATGAATGGACATGGACAAGATTTTATAGCTTTCTTGGTAAGAGATAAAAAAATTCTATCAAAATATATAGGATTATTTATATTTTAGGTGGAATACTTTTTGCTACAAGTGATGCACTTCTTGCTCTTGATCGTTTTGTCACTCCACTAGCACATTCACAAATACTTGTTATGACAACATATTATGCTGCCCAATTACTTATAGCATTATCTGTTGTTGATTCACATGAAGATACCGAAATGAATTTTCATGTTATACAAGAAACTGATATAATTAAACTTGTTCAAGAACAAGGAAAATTTTTATCACAAGTACATCGTGATGATTTATTTGCATTAGTATCAGCTAAACGTGCATCTATACAACAAACAGTTGCAAATACACAAATTGGTCAAAATATTGTTTTATTATTAAATCGTACACCGGTTGTAATGTTTGTTAAATCAACAAAACATAAAAGTAATTAATAAACAATCAATTAAAATGAACACATAAAAAGCAATAAAATAAAAACTAGTAATTCAAAATATATATTATATATATCGTAGAGCATTCTATCAGATAAATAATATTATTTCCACTTATTTTATTTTTTATTTTTTATTATTGTTAATGAACAATATTTATGTAGATGTATATATTGACGTTTCGTTTTTTCCTTCTATATATTAAATAAATTATGTATGAATATTTATTATTTGAGAATGAAAGTCAAAAGAATGATTTATGTATAAATTCTTTAGATTTGAAAAGAAATTTATTGTTATCAAGATCTATATACGACATTGTAAGTGAAAATGATTAATTACAAACATCAATTTTTATAACATAACATATTATTTTTAGCATATTTTATAACGTAGTAACCAGTTTTGAAAAATCTAACGGATATTTAGAATCTTTATAAAAGAATTATTTATGAAATAAATACATTTTAATAATAATAATAGCCTTAGGTTATAACGGAACTATATACAATGAAGGTGAAGTATTAAACAAAGCATATCCTATTAATCTTCGTGATAGAGTTCTAGGGGAAATTCAATATACTGATCATCTATTCAACCTCATACCTGATTTAAGTCGAAATTCTCTTATTTTTCATGAAAATATTTCTATCTATATCTGGTAATCGCTTAGAGAATACGAATTTTCCACTTGTCTATGTTGATGATTAACACACTCGACTGTATATTTTTCAGGCAATCTCGATAATGATTTTATAATAATAATCCATACGACCTGTTGGTAATAGATTTCTATTCAATCGTATCTTTTTTCGTCCTAGATAAAGTAGCTATTATTAATGAATTAGTTGTTTTTTATTGAAAAATTCTATTGTAGTTACTAATCACGACGAAGATATCAATTTTGTATTTTTACTAAATTTGTACTCAAATAAATAGATAAAAAATGAAGATTGATCACATAAGTCAATTGAATATATAATAAAATGATCTGATTAACATAAAAAATAGTAACGGAGAAATAATTTGATTATAATACGATATTATTCATGATTTAATAATACGTTATTTCTTTTTACGAAAACTAAAACTTAGAATTTTGTGGAGGATAATAATCATCAGCAATTTAAAAAAGGCACAAATCAATATGTTGGATGATTTTTGTTCGTAGAATATATAAGACGATTTATTTATTATGTAGATTAATCATAATAATGAATTTGCGGCTTATTTATTTATTTATATTTTCTAATCGATCATATATTCTGTTTATTAATTCATATGCAAATTTGTTCTGTTAAATATCTATATTTTTCATTTTAAAAGATATTTATCTTAATAAATCATTTGATTTCGACCTATATGTTTACATAATTCTTTTGCTCCTTTATAAAAACGAACATTTACTTCGTTTCTTTATTATGGGTATGCAGGAAAAAAAATTGCATAGCCTACGATTCGTAACCATTCAATCGTACAAAACCTTCAAAACAAGGTGTTCTTTTGCATAAGAATGTATTGAAGTATATTTTTGTTTCGTCTCAGTAACTAGGCCAATAGTAATAGTTTTATTAAACCTCTAGTGAATATTTCAAATAATTTCAAATTATGATATAATTTATATTTATCAACATAGTATTTTTTGTAATAAATATTTTTATTTTAGAATAAGCTTTTTTTCTATTGAAATATGGCAGATATAAAAGTGGTTGCTATTGTTGTTGGTGTTGCTTTATTATCAATTACCATTTTATCATTGATTATATCCAGTGCTGGCCGACTTAATACAGATGAAAGTTTGTATTGAATATTTGTTTTATTTTTAACGAATAATATTTTATTTCTTATTTAAGTTGCTTTACATTATAATGCAATTACAAAACATCTTGGTCGAGAAGTGAAATCATCTGGTTTAGTTTTTGGTTCACCTGGTATGACACTTATTATTTTTCCAAGTGTATTTACTTCAATGCAATGGAAGGATATATCAGTTTGTTATTAAATTATATATTGTCAATTTGTTTTTACATATTTTAATTTAGTGTCTTAATCGAGATGGTGTTTCGATTAGTCTTGATGTAACATTACAATTTCAAGCTGATCCGAAATATTTACATGATGTTGTTGTACAATTTGAAGATTTTGATGGATATAAAAAAATTCTCCATGCAACAGGTGAAGCAGCTATTCATGATACATGTGCACAGTAAGTCAAAAAAAATAAAGCAATAACTAAATTTGATAGTTACGTCACGATAAATTCAATGATTATAGATTTCACATGAAAACACAAAATTCATTCATTCATCCGTTATCCTTTGTGCCATTCCTTTCCAATTAACTGTAAAGTTCAGTGAGTTGTATGAGAATAGAATACAGCTGTTAATCAATAACTAGCAAATAAAATCAATAATTCATTTTTCCCTCCCTCTCGATGAACTTTAACAGTATGTTGCCTTCTTTCTCATTACTATTGTTGAGTCTTTTATATACAGGAGAGTAATTGTCGGTCATATCATTTCATTTGTTGTAAACTGAAACCATGTTATTATATCATATATACAGATAAACAGGTGTGCTGTTACTACACGATGAGTCTTATATAATATATAGTTCTCTTATGCACATGTGTTCACTATGAAAAGGTTTTACAAATAAGCAACAAGATTAGAAAATTCATATTTTTGTTTAATATAACAATTATTCTTTATTATAGTTTTAACACAACTGCATTTCAAAGTATGCGAGGTTATTTTCAAGTTAAATTATTAAAAGTAAAAATAATTTTAAAGACAAAATTATTTTCTATAATTTTTATAATTGAATTAGGAAATGAAAGATACATTAAGTCCATTTTATACTATTCTTCGAGATTTACAAGTAAATTTTCTTTTTTTTCCAAATTTCGAAAACTTATATAAAATAAATAGGTGAATAATGTTCGTCGACCATCAGATTTTGAAATGGCTGTTAAAGATAAAGAAGCAGCAAAAGAAAATATAAAAGTTAGTTAGTTAATTATTTTCTTTCTTTTGCTTTTAATGGAAATAATAATTATATTAGATTGCTGAAAATGAACGACCAAAATTCTTAACACAAGCACGTACTGAATATCAAAAAGCATTAAAACAAGCTCAAATTATTGATGAACGAGCTGATACTGATAGTAATATTATTCGAAATCAGTAAGTTATTTTTCTTCTATTACAAAAAATATATATTTATTTTTTAATAGAGCTGATGCCGAAGCACAAGCTGTTCGAGCACGATATTCAACTGAAACAGGTAATATTACTAAACCTCTTCAGTTCTAATATATATAAAATATAAATAAATATTTAGATACCTATATCGAATTAAAACGAAAGATGCGATTGGATGTTGAAGCATTATTAACATATATGGTAAGATTGAATGAATGAATTATTTATTTGATAATATTTATATACATATAGGCTATTCAAACAATTGGAGCATCAAAACATGATGTTTATATCAATTTAAAATCACCTGCACAAATCAAATATGAATTATAAATCTAAAAACTATCTCACACTGTGATATTTTTCTCATATGAAATAGTATATGTAGTGACTAATTTCATATATTTCTTTATATTTAAAATTTTGCTTTTTAATTTCAATAATTATAGATTTACAGGAAAATAAAAGATTATTTCTGAATAGGATCAAAGAACTATTCGTACTATAACAAGATATATTGGGCTTATCATTTGAGTGGGATACATCTCAATGCATTAAAAATATCTCATGAGAATCATCAGTCTGTTAAATTTGAATACTACATTATTAATGTTCATTATTTTCTATACGTATTTGTTTATATCCGATTCAGAGATATTGTTCAGATATTTAACATGAATTCTTATTATTATATATGAAGTAAATGTGCATATATGGAAGAATTATCGTTTAAAATATTGATTACTTTATTTTTAGTTTCCTTCGTAGACTATAACCTATTGATCGTGTATGAGATAGGCGTGATAAGAAAACTTGTCTCATGAGAGAATCTATTAAAATTAGATAATATTCATGTTGATATAGTACTGAATAGTCTTAAATTATTTTGGACAATGTGACATATGGATAAATTGATTTGTCATCAGTATTTTATCTAGGTTTTTCCTTTTGCGAGTGCGGTAGCGATTTTCGGGAGGGCGAAAATCTAATCTCTGGAGGAAAAATATATAGTACAAACACAAAAATTGCAATTTTCGGGAAGGTGCCGCTATCACTGCTCTCCCTCTAGATAAATCACTGTTTGTCATGTTTTATGCCATATTAGAAATAATAACTTAGATAGCTATGTTTAATTTTGCTGCATTCACAATAATCGATGAATAATCTTTACTCGATTATTTCAGCAATTCTAAACAATAATCAAATATTTCATAACTTGTAAAATATAACAAAATAAGCATAATCGGTCGTACAATATATTACAAAATCAAACTTTTTTTTTATATTTATTTTCAACATCATTAATTTACTTTTAACAAGTTTTGACAACATGTTGCCATTCTCTTGATATTGTATGTGGCTTTCGCCATGATGACATTTCAGATCGATATTTTCGAAACAAATAATTATCAGATATATGATGATAAATATTCGATCCATAAGAGATATGTCCTTGTTGATGTGGAAGTAAATCTGTATTAATATCATAATCAGACGTTGTTATACCATTTCCTCTTGGTTTATGCATACTTGGTAAAAGTATTCGTCCAATAAATTCACCTAGTGTATAAACACCAAGAAAACGTTTCCAATTATCAAGGCAACTATTATTATATGTAATAGAATCTTTTTTATAATCTATTTGTAATAAACGTTCAACGGATGTTTCATCTCGACTAATCATATGTGCATGACAACAACTAAAACCAGTTAATGCAAAACCAACTGGTACAGTTAATATAAATATATAATATGTAATAAAACCATCTACTCCCAAATCTTCAAGAATATCGGGAACTTTAAAAAATGAATCAATATGTCGAAATCTAACAAAATAAAAAATCATAATATATTATCGAAAAAAATATTTTATTTTCTAACATACACTTGTACACCCAATCGACTGATTTGATATTCTCGGTAACCAAAAAAACCAGCATAAAGACATCCAGTTGCCATAAAACAACAAAATTGAAAAAAATAACGATAATTATAAAAACCAACACAATTATTCAACCCTGAAATTTTATTTAAATTCAATATTATATATATATTCTCAAAATTCTAATAACTTACATGGACAATGATGATCAAATCTTAATACACATACATTACACCAACTACAATGATGAGTTCGAGGTGGTTTATTAAATGAACATTTCTTACATATTGGATATTGTCTTGCTAAATGTTGATAATCTTTAGCAAGACCAGGTGATGTTACACATGCCATTATATAATGAAAATAAATATTTATAGCAAGCCAATTACCAAATATAAAGTGAAATATAAATTTTCCATATCGTTTTTCTTCAAGTGTTGTTATTGCAATAGTTGAATAAAATACATAAACAATATAAGTCGTTAATGAAAAAAATATAATTATACATAAACAGCCTATACTATTCGATAAAATTTTTCGCACTTTTTCATTAGGCATAAGTATTTAGTGAGCTTTTCAAACTTTTTGTAAATATTGTTTGTTAGTTAAATAACATCAATAGTTATATATGATTGAGGTAATGTGTGGATTCGATATTACCTTTCATCGTTACGTTGGTTATGGTTGACTGAGTCTTAAAGGCTAGAAACAACTAAAGAAAAAAAGAAGACATGACAAAAAAGTTTTTTTTTACAAAGTACTGTTTACAATATTTACAAATGTATGAAAAACTATTCATATAGAAAACATTTGATCATATTCTATTAAGATTTTTTCTGTACTAATAAGGCATAATTAAAAACAGACGAACAATAATTTATTCTATACTTTTTAAGAAGAAAATATATTAAAATGATTCAAGCTTTATGATGATAATTATTATTTAACTAGAACATATTGAATGTATATTAAGACAAGATTAAGTAAAGAAAATTTTTATTTTACTATAATCTACCTTTATATACATACTGCTATATTTTAATAATGATTGAAATATTATTTCTGTATATATATACCATGATTGGCTTGTTTTTCTTTATATTAACTTTTATATAGTACTTCATAGTCATGATATAATTTGTATATTCATTAATGATAAAATTAAAAGTCAGATATCTATGGTTAATTTATGAATAACAATGATCATGGGAATATTTAGGAATTAAAATATTACGAACATTTTATTGAATGATAAGAAAAATAAATAATATCTATTTAGTATTATTTGTGAACTATCTTCGTGAATGATTGCGTTGTTATAGACGTTTTTTAAATCGTTTTCAATTAAAACTTCGTTTTATCCATCTTTATTTCATCCTTATACATATATATATACTACATCAAGGTTACTATCATCAATTATTAATCAAGGTAAGTATACGTAAAAGTAATTAACGCCTTCACAAACGGAAAATAGACAATACAATGAGATATATTTTATACTACTTGACACTCTTTAATAAAAATAAAAGCAATGAAACGATTTCTGATATAATGATAAATTGATTTGATAATAAGTATATACTAAGTTACATGAAAAAACAAGAATACTATATTCAAATATTTACAAATCTTCTTTTATGTTTTAAGTATTATAATAAATATTGCTTTAAATCCGTTTCACATATTTTGTAATTATAAAAATAAACCTTAAATTTGAATATGATAAAATAGGTATATTATGTTGTCTACAACATTCTGCTCTTCTAATCACCTGACATGACATATTCATGATATATCAGCCCTATGTATAGTTATGCATGATTTACCTTCAATGACTGTATGAAATATACAGAGTATAGGATAATATTTGTTTCTCTACAATATCGCTACTCGTATTATTATATACAGTACGATGTAAAAGTTTTTGTCCTCAGTATTTCACATGTTTTTCAGAATGAAATTGATGAATAGGAAAAGTAAATATATAAACAACTAAGGCATGACACAAGGTAAAAGTTAAACATTGTGCTTTCATCGACTTCACAAAATTATTTAGAACGGTTAAGTCAATTTTGTACTATTCCTTGTGTAGAAATCTCTCTAGTTCACCAAGATACAATGATTTCCGCTTCTCGACACTAAGCTTAAGAATCGACCAATTTTATAACTTGCATAGCTTTATATAGATCTCATCCTGTCTTCCAGAAAATTCTCTCCAGAAACTTCCAGCGATCGAAGTTTTTAATTTACAACGACTATTAATTAGATTTATGAAAATAACGTATACTAAGTTTTTCAGTACTATCTAATAATTGTATATTAGGAAAAAATGATGCTCAAACAAATTCGTTTATGTTACATGAGATAGTCTTGCTGACAATTCATATGTATACTTAATATCATAAAAGAATATGTCATTCATTTCAATACCATATGTTAACTTTAATTTATTTTGAACAATGTGAAATGTAGATCAACCTACATTTCGTGCTTCTCATCTACTTATTCTTCAATCTCTTTTCATTCATCATCAACATGGAATGCATCTAATACTTACTTTTATTCATTGTCTTTTGCCTTTATAATGGTATTTATATGGATATTACAACCATTATTATATAAAGAATTTACTGGATTTGATCAAACACGTTTTGGTGATATTTATACTTGGCATATTAAAACCACATCTAGTCTTTAGTTGGCACTGGGTTTTATGCGTTTTTAATAACTTGAAACTTGTTTTAATTGTATTTGACTAAAAGCATTTGCTTGATCATAGGAGTGATCAATTCAATATGTATACTAGTTTGATTTCTTCATTGTTATGTACTTATACTTCATTAAAACAAGATCGATTTATTGATCGTGATATTATTTACTTGAGATTAAAGAAAATATTCGATGGAATATTAGTATTCATGTATCGAATGAAACAATCAACTATTCACATACAACATCTTTATCTAATCTTCATTTAAATCCCCATCAATTAATACAACATCTATCAATATAATAAATGAGAATGTATCTGTAAATTGATCTTTAATAGTTTTTATATTGTCACAATGAGTAATCATTCTAACAGAGACTATGAGTACATCTGATCATTAATCTGTTATATAACAACTTATATGAAATATTTAAAAACATTTTTCATATACAATAATTCATATTGATTGTCATTTTGCAAAAGATGTAAATAAGAATTTTACTCTATGAGATAATATCATGGAATATAATTGGATGAATAGTGTATTTATTCATAATATGCCGGAAGATAAAGGACTATCAGCTAGTCGTAATTATTTACTCAATATAACAAAGACAACATTCTTTTTCTTATTAGATTATGAGTTTGTATTTGCAGAAGATTCTCATATTGATATTATTACCAAAAAATACCCACAGATATGAGAATATATAATGATTTTTCTGATAGATTTCTTCAATATAAGCAAACTCTTGAATTACTACGATATATATTGAATAATAGTAAAAATCAAGTAGATTTTGTTCCAAACGTATTCATAGGCCCAACAAAATCTGTACGAAGGCGATTATATTCAAGTTCCATAATGGAGAAAAAACAGATAATGCATCCTATCAAAAACATGGATGTGTGTGTATAAATATTATTAGAATATGTTAAGAAAACATGGTTTTACTTATATGAATCTTGATAAATTGTAGTATTTATTTTCACAAGCCGTACTTATTATACTAATCATTAAAACAGAAATAAAGGTTTAAGTACCAAAAATCAATCAGAATCACATTTTCTCTCAATCTAAGAACACTGTTTCGAGGATCCTCTTATTTTATCTATTCATGAATGAAATGATTTACATGATATACGAATATGTATAACTCATATTACAAACAACCAAAGGCACATATAGGTTGATAAGGCTAACTGTTCTTGTTTGTAGATGAGATAAATTACATGTTTCATATCATCCTTGGATTATATGATAACAGCTTTAGATTTGATTTGTTTGTTATTGTTTCCAAGGATAAAAATCCTTGTTACAGACGAAAATTCTTAGTTTACAAGCATGATTTTATTTTGATTATATCCCCTAACAAAACTACATAATAGAAAGTTTAAGTGCAAATATTTTGTCTATACTTATAAATATCTTCAAAAACAAGTCCATAAAAGTCATTGACGTAATTCTCTCAATTGTTTTATTTTGTTATCAATAAATAAATCATAAACGAACTATATCAGTCACTTTCATCCTTTAAAAAATCATCATAATATCTTTAGATTATAAAATATGTTTATCTCAAAATTCTTTCGTTCTATTTTACCAACAAACTCGAGATAAAAAAAACCTTCTTTGACATCATATATCATATGAAAAAAAATTTCGTCTATTTCGAATTAAATTTAAACTTTTGTTTGACTAAAAATATTCTATTTATCATATATGAGTATCATTCAAGTGAATAAAAATTTTGATTTTTTATTGTGCATATAAAAAATTACGTATTTATATCGTCTTCTATGGAGAATTTCAAGTCACTCACATGTCCAATAACATTGGCAAGATTCATTGAACCTGTTATTGGTTCTGATTGTCATACATATGAACGAAGTGCTATTGTAGAATGGCTTCAAAAACATCAAACTAGTCCAATGACTTGTCAACTAATGTCAATCGATTCGTTAAGACCAAATTTAGCTATAAAGAATCTCATTGATGAAATTTCCGAAATAACGAAAACACATCAAAAGTAAGAATATGTTATAAATATTATCCGAATATTTTATTTTTAATATAAATCTAGTTCGATACCTACAGATATTACTCCACAAGTAAAAACATCATATAATAAAATGAATTCTTAATTTCAATGATTATTTTTACTTAGATAATCTCTGATCGACCTCCACCAATACCACCACGCCAATCAAGTAAATCAATCAATTTAGATTTTCGTTGACATTACATATGTGTATTTATTATTCTAATTCAGTTTGAACTGTATTGATAAACTATCACTAAAGAATATCCTGTATTATATAATAGTTAAAAGCATTAATTCTATATTTATATAAACAATGATTCAGACAGTTTAGATACGTGTCTATGACTAGTTTCCTTTTTAATTATGTGACGCCAAGAGTAGAATAACTTTGTATTTATCCAATATAAATAAACTTCTATTTTTCTTTTACAGGAAATCTATCTAATAGAAAAAATTCATTGAAGCAGTATGTATAGTTATTTATAAAGAATTCTATCTTTTGTTTTTGTTTTAAAAGGAAAACAATATGGAATAACGATGATGAAAACAACGCGGATTCAACAAGTTTCTAACGATGTTAAAATGTCTAAAAATTTAATTTTGTATTATAGAAATATAAGACAAATTTTATTGACAATTGGATTATATTACAGACAGACAATAACTTCTCTTTTAAAATATAATAAATTAAGATTTCTTGTTCGTTTTTTTCTTTAGGGAAATACAGTTTATATATATTATAGTTACTATAATGACTGGTAGTAGATCGTTACTGGTCAATCTAATGTTCTATATAGACAACAATTTGTTATTGTCCTCATCTTTTTTTCCTCCTTCTCCTTTCTTCGAGCTGTTCGCAGCCCATTTTTTTATCTATCTTCTTTTTCTCATGGTCGTTGTTGCACATCGGTGGCATTCTCTGTAATATATGAGTCGTCATTTTTTTTCTTTCTTTCGTTCTTTCTTTCTTTCCATCTTAACGCCATTATTAATAGCGATGATGATGCTAGAACGATATAGTATAGAAAATGTCGAAGGTGAAAGCAAAGCACGTACTACATACTTCGTTGTTCTCCTTTTTTTTTCTCTTGGTCGGACTTATATTTTCGGTGCTGATTCATCATGATCATTATCGTCTTCGAAAAAAAAAAATAGAAGAAGAAAAAGAAGAAGAAAGAAAGAAAAGTCTGCCCGATATATTTCTTGCATATTGTACGTCGGCAGAGAAAAAGAGAACGAGAGAAACATGCGCACCCGATTTGACAATCAACTAGAAGCAACATTCAGAGTTACGGTGCAATACATCTCTGAATGAGAGAAAAATTTTTTTTGATAAAAATATGGATATTAAAATAATGACAAATATTCGAATTATTCAAATTTGCTATTGGTGGTTACTTATACTTACTCAAAGTATTTACTCAATTTCTCCACAAGGTATAGAAAATTGAACAAAAAGGAAACATAATTGTAACTTTGTTGTTTTTTTTGTCTAGCTCAATTTATATCTCTTTGCGGTCAAACGTACAATCTATCCTCATCATCATTATCAATTATATATACACGTTCATCATATATATCGTGCTGTAATATAACAGTAACTAAATCAGCATTGTCAGATTCATCGCAACGTATAATAATAAATATTTTAAATATGTCAATGACTAATTCTCCATTAAAAATTTCTAATAAAGAAAATGATATGATAAAATTTGATAATTATGTATCATCAAATCGAACGTATTTTAAATCTGATATTGTAAATTTACCTATTACTTTCAGTTTATGTCAATATAATATACAACCATTCGAAATCTTAATAACAAATATAACACAAGGTAAAGAAATTTCAAATTTAAATTTTATTTTATACATTTTATTCGAATAGGTCCATGTAAACCAAATCAATATGATTGTTCAACAACAACAGATGAACAACAATGGTGTATTGATGAAATTTATCATTGTGATGGTTATCATTCATGTCCACAAGGAATGGATGAAGATAAATGTTCAAGTATATATTTCAAAGAAGAAAAAAATCTTGCATCAGTCTTTATTTTTTATTTAGAATCAAGTACAAAATCAACTTCTTCAAAAAATGAACGAACTATTCGTGGAGGAGTAGTAACTTCAATAATTATATTTGGTTTATTACTTATTATTGCCTCAGTTGGTATTGGACTTACGTTTATTTATGTTCGACGAAAACGTCAAAGAAATAGACAATTTACTTATTCACTTGAATCAACAAGTGATGATTGGGAACCGACAAGTACAGGTTATCGTTTATTTGATAATTGGACTAATAATCGTCGTCATACTGAAAATAATAATGATAATGTTCTTCTTGATGCCAATGAACATATGCCTATTGCAACAAATATGACAAATCGGTGATGTCAATATATCTTTTCTGAGTTCTTCTTTTGCTTTTGTTCCGTTAAAATTCTTCCTTTTTCTTTCTTTCTTATTTATATAAAAATATTATTAACAAAAAAAAAGAGGATTTTCTTTATTGCAAAGATTAATTCGAATGAATTTTAATATTCGATTGATAAAAAAAGAAAATAATAAATTAAAATTCATTTGTATACTATTCTTTATTTATTCGAATTATCAAGGCTTAAATAAACATCGTTCTTTTTTGCTTAGAATAACATACATCTCGCAACTATGACTTTACCACACACGATGAATACTACGAAAAGAACAAAAAATGTTTTATATATAATTATGTTTTATGATTCATCTTACTCCTCTAATGTACTACAAAAGAATTTCTATTTTTGATATATTATGAGTAATTGAAATATTTCATAATGATAAATTGTCTAGTTGTCATTGAAAGAATATGACAACTTAGATAAATAAAAATCTATTATCATAATATATAGAAAATAAGTTACACGTAAACAAAATCTAGTCATTACTATGAGTTACAATGTACAGAAAATATACTTCGATGATTAGTGAAGAATACAAATAAAGTTAACAAAAACAATTTTCGTTAGTATACCACTTGAAATTCTTATCTTCAGGCAAAACTAACCTCTGAATTCATGTTTTTTTGAATATGTACTTTATGATTTCTTATTACAAACAGATCATATACTCATTGATTAGATATTCATGATTATTAGAAACGAAAATAAACTTTATTTCTTGCTATAAATAGTCTCAAAGAAATCTTTGTTCGATTTTTACATCTTGGAATACATTAGCTCTAGAATTTTAATTTCACTTTTCTTTTTTTCTTGATATTGTTTTCTCGATGACGTCACACATGTATCTGTTTTATTCCTTTCCTATCGTATGGCATCATCAGAATCTTCTGTGTTGTTGTTCTTCTAATCTCTAATGGTAATTGGGATGTTCCTGATAATCAGATGTGGATATTTTCGTATGTCTGTAACCTTATACATAGCGTATCTTTAATCACGACGAGATCGATACATTTGACTAAAACGATGTCGATTGACTATACAATCACGTGGTGAAGGAATTTTGTGTGGAAAATATCGGTTTGATCTTAGCAATAACTAAAATCTTATTTTTCTCTCTGATTTTCATGATATCGGGATGTTTACCATGTTTTTCTTGTTATTGACACTTAAAGTTATTAATTAAATCTATTTACTACTTATGAAATTCGGCCATTTTTCAATTAGAAGATTGTTTTTCATTTACCCATCCTGTTTCGAAATGCGGTCACTTTTAATAATTAGTTTATTTAGAAATGATCGCAATTAGAAATTGGTTTATTTGTGTTTTCTATTCTTAAAATCGTAAATGTTCAAGTGCGACATCTGATGAAATATTTTGTATTAGTTTATTGATTTAACCAATAATGGAAACATGAGAAATAACAGTGAGATTTCTTAATTCGTACTTACGTTGTATTATTCCTTTTTATTAATTTCATAGATGACATCAGAAAACAACGGCGATTCTAATGCTCTTCATCTTCTTCCTGGTACCGATGGTGAGCAAGTTGGTGGTTTAATTATTAAAAAAAAAATCTCAAGCAGTATCGTCAGATGAACAACATGTTTTTAAAGTACCTCAAATTCCTGTATCAACATCATCGTTTGGTCTTGATAAATTAGCAGCTGAAAAACGTCGTGCACAATCGTCAGCAGCAGCATCATCATCATCATCAAAACGTTCGAAACCATCATCATCATCATTTGATGATAATGACAATGATGATGAATATAAAAATTCATCTAATCATAAATCACGACATTTACGTGAACAAAGAGTTGAAACTCCATCTTCAACACGTTCATCACATCATGATCTTTATGATAAAAGTCGATTACCACCTAAAAATATCCAACGTGGTGTAGTTTATGGAAAAGAAAAACATAAACAACGTATGTTACACTTTCTCTTTAATTATTTTTCATAATAAAAATATTTTATTTTTTTTCTAGATCGAAATAAAGATAATAAAGATAATGATGATGATGATCGATATGCTACACCAAATATTCGCGGTAGTCGAGGTAATATACGAATTTGTAGAGAAAAAAATCATAATATTGTTTTTGTTGTTGTTATTATATAGAATCACCATCAAGAGCACAATGGGATGATGATGATTTCGATAAACGACATTCACAATGGGAATATCCAACACCAAATGATAGTTATAATCGTCAAGGTTATAGAAAAAAACGTGATACTGATTATTATAATAGGTATGATTTAGTCTACTTTCGCCAAAGGCACATTTCGCCGATAAATCCATTCGGATGATATCGATTTATGAGACTATCAATTTCGAGTATTCCTTTTCTATCGATAAAAATATCTATATGTATACTAAGTCATTGTAATTTCAATGTTCATTAAGTTAACTATATTGTGTCTGTTCGCTTTGAGTAATTATAAGGAAGTTCTGAAGTGTTTGCTCTTGAAATTGGAGGAAATCTATGTCAAAACAGTTTTGAGAATAGGAATGGGTAAGTGCCAGTTAAGGGTTGATTAGAAGGGCAGCTAATCATCTCCCTAATCAATAATCAGCTGTTTCGCCCTTAGTGCCAGTACTTAGTTAAGTCTAGAAGAATTAAGATTTTTGTTCCTAAAAGTACGCGAATGCCATCCTGTCTTTCATTTTATCGCAAGTCACTACGAATTTTCCGGTTCGAACAAGACTGATACTTTTAATCTTTGATTTCATAAATATAACTTTTGTTTGATTCATTTAGAAAAAGTAACGATACACCATTACCGACACCAAGTTTTCGTAAAAGTAAACGTGATGAATTTAATGCTGATGATGATCAACATAATTGGGAAGAAGAACAAAAAGTAATTATTCATATTACTTTTTAAATGGAAATAAATAAACGTTTTTTTCTTTAGCGTATTGATCGTGAATGGTACAATAATGAAGATGTTGTTGATGATGAATTAAATCCGTTTAGTAATGTTAGTGAAGAATATACAAAGAAAAAAGAACAAGCATTAGAATTAAGAAAAAAGAAACGTATGTCTGCTCAACAACGACAAATAAATCAAGTAAATTTATTTTTGTATAAAATTATTTCTTATTCTTAAACAAACAAATTTTTATTTAAGGATATTGAAAAATGGGAAACAAATCGAATGCTTCAAAGTGGTATTGTAACAAAAGTTAATTTTCAGGATGATTTTGATGATGAAAGTGAAAGTCGTGTACATTTACTTGTTACAAATCTTGTACCACCATTTCTTGATGGTCGAATAAGATTTACTCGTCAATTTGAACCAGTTATTCCTGTTAAAGATCCTACATCTGATATGGCAATTATCTGTCGTAAAGGTTGTCAATCAGTACGAAAATATCGTGAACAAAAAGAACGTCGTTTAGCACAAGAAAAATTTGAATTAGGTGGAACAAAATTAGGAAATATCTTAGGTATAAAACGACGCGATGAAAAAGATGAACAATCAGAAGATGTTGATTATAAAAAATCACAAAAATTTGCTGAACATATGCAAGGAAAAAATGAGGCAGTATCAGATTTTGCAACAAAAAGAACGATTGATGAACAAAGAAAATTTTTACCAATTTATGCTATTCAAGAAGATTTATTAAAAATTATACGAGAAAATAGTATTGTTATCTGTGTTGGAGAAACTGGATCAGGTAAAACAACACAAATGACTCAATATCTTCATGAATCTGGTTATACAAAACGTGGTATGATTGGATGTACACAACCACGTCGTGTTGCTGCTATGTCTGTTGCAAAACGTGTATCGGAAGAAATGCAATGTAAACTCGGTGATGACGTTGGATATGCTATTCGATTTGAAGATTGTACATCGGATGTAAGTTTAATTATTATACATTAAAATACTTATATTGTTTTGTTTTTTTTAATTTAGAAAACAATTATTAAATATATGACAGATGGTATTTTACTACGTGAAAGTTTAACAGATCCTGATCTTGATCATTATTCAGCTATTATTATGGATGAAGCACATGAACGTAGTTTAAATACTGATGTTCTTTTTGGCCTTTTACGAGAAGTTGTTTCACGTCGACAAGATTTAAAATTAATTGTTACATCAGCAACAATGGATTCAAATAAATTTAGTGAATTTTTTGGCAATGTACCAATTTTTATTATACCAGGACGAACATTTCCAGTTGAACCATTCTTTAGTAAAGCTTGTGTAGAGGATTATGTTGATGCTGCTGTTAAACAATCTATACAAATACATTTGGGTGCTGGTGATGGAGATATTCTTGTTTTTATGCCCGGTCAAGAAGATATTGAAGTAACATGTGAAGTAATCAAAGAACGTTTAAATGATCTTGAAGGTGCAAAACCCTTAAGTATTTTGCCAATTTATTCTCAATTACCTAGTGATTTACAAGCAAAAATCTTTCAGAAAGCTGAAGATGGTATAAGAAAATGTGTTGTTGCAACAAATATTGCTGAAACATCATTAACACTCGATGGTATTATGTATGTTGTTGATTCAGGTTATTGTAAATTAAAAGTTTATAATCCACGTATTGGTATGGATGCTTTACAAATATATCCAGTTAGTCAAGCAAATGCAAATCAAAGAATGGGTCGAGCTGGACGAACAGGACCAGGGTAAGATTCTTATTAGGAATTGTGACCTTTTATTATGTATAGTTTTCATATACAGACAAAGACAATTAACATTTTTGCTGTAGGGAAGTTAATAAAACGATATTACACAAATCTAATATTAGTAGAGATCAATTACTGTTATTGATGAGATTCTGAAACCGAGATATTTGTTACAAATTCTTAGTTTTCTTAGAAAAGAGAGATTATCTTCAGAAGATATAGGTTATGTATAATTTTCGACGGTGAGAAATTCAAATCTACTAATGAATTTTTACATTCCTAGGAACAATATAATGCTCATCCTATCCATCTTTTCTATTTCTATATAAGTTCTTATCCTCTAAACACTTCGAAACTGTACTTTATTCCTTGACTGAGCTAGTAAGATTGACGGCTCATTATTACTATTGTATTCCTAAATTTGCTTATTGCATATGGATCTAGTATTTCTATTTATTATAGTTCGAAATGTTGTCTATACATTACATCTAATGTATTTACAATGTTGCAAGAAATAGAATACAGTAAAGGTTGTTAGCTGTCACATTACAGCTGATCGTACTACGTCAACTATATAACATCATAAGTTCTATTTCTATGCAAAGACAAACTAACAACGTTTTTCTTTCATGGCTAAAGTTCTGATTACTCTAATAACATCAGTATTGATCATTAATAGTTATACTTCATATGTATGTATATATCTATAAAAGCTAAGATCATCTTTCTTTTCTCCATAATTATTGATTATGTAATATGATTTTATCAATTTCATATATATTTTTCTCTTATAGACAATGCTTTCGTTTATATACTGAACGTAATTTTCGTGAAGAAATGCTCAAAACAAATGTACCAGAAATTCAACGAACGAATCTTGCTAATGTTGTTCTATTACTTAAATCACTTGGTATACAAGATCTTCTTCAATTTCATTTTATGGATCCACCACCACAAGATAATTTAATGAATTCAATGTATCAATTATGGATTTTAGGTGCATTAGATAATACAGGTTCATTAACACAATTAGGTCGTCAAATGGTTGAATTTCCACTTGATCCAGCAATGTCACAAATGTTAATAACATCTGTTGCAATGGGTTGTAGTAGTGAAATTCTTATAATTGTATCGATGTTGTCTGTTCCATCGATATTTTTTCGACCAAAAGGTAAAGAAGATGAATCTGATGCTAAACGAGAAAAATTTCAAGTGGCTGAAAGTGATCATTTAACATTTCTTCATGTTTATATTCAATGGAAAAAAAGTGGATATTCAAATAATTGGTGTTCAGATCATTTTATTCATGTTAAAGCAATGAGAAAAGTTCGAGAAGTTCGACAACAATTAAAAGATATTATGGATTCACAAAAATTAGATGTTAAATCATGTGGAAATTGGGATATTGTACGAAAATGTATATGTGCTGCTTATTTTCATCAAGCAGCTCGACTTAAAGTAATTTAAAATTAAACATTTTTTTTTAAATATACTTTTTTTTATTTTGTTTTTCAAAGGGTATCGGTGAATATGTTAATTTACGTACAGGTATGCCATGTCATTTACATCCGACTAGTGCATTATTTGGTTGTGGATTTACACCTGATTATATTGTTTATCATGAACTTATTATGACAACAAAGGTATGTAGTTAATTAAGAATAGACTGAATGAATTGTTTAATTTAATTTTTAAAAGGAATATATGCAATGTGTCACATGTGTTGATGGCCATTGGCTTGCTGAACTTGGACCTATGTTTTTTAGTCTTAAAGATTCATTTAAAACTCGTAATGAACGTGCACGAAAAGAAAAATCAGAAACATCAACAATGGAAGAAGAAATGCGTGTTTCACAAGAAAAATTTAATCGAATGAAAGAAGAAGCAAATGCGGCTGGTCAAACACCTTCTATACGAAATAAAATTATTACACCGTTTAATCGTATACAAACAACACCTACACCAAAAAGAACAACACCATTTCGTAGTGGAATTTAATCTTTTTTGTCCTCGAATATAAATCTTTATGTATTTTGTGTTTTGTACAAAGAAAAATAAATGAAAGATTGATTTCTTTTCGTATAAAGAAAGGCAAAGAGCAACAAACAGCTGACTGTTCTCTTCTTCTATGTCTATATGTGTTTACATGCGCCTAGAAAAAGAAGACAATGAAAAGATAGAAGCTCTCGTCCTGTATATATTGATAATATACAATTGAATATAACACTTTACTATTCTCATCAATCATTGATACAAGTATGTACATATAGAGTGAAGAAAGAAGAAGAAGAAAAATCTTGTTTTATTTCTATTGTTCTTTATAATATATATTATTGTATCCTATGTTAATTTGACCGGACAGCAGAGTAATGAATGGTAAGTGTTGATTGTTGATATGCTGAATTATATGTGTATATATATATATGTATGAGAAAAGAAAAAAACATCAGCACATTCTTCTCATATTTTTTTTTTGTTATTAATAATACGAGATTTTTCTGATATGGTACTTTCTTTCTTTTCTTCTTCTTCTTATGTTATCCCATATTACCACATAGATGCACATAGATATTCACATATGCTACTCGTTGTACATCATATCTATAGAATGCAAGAGTAAGATTCACTTAGATATCAATAATTATTGGATTAGTTGTTTTTATTGTTTTCTATTGGCAACTAAATGCTTATATTCATCAGTAAACGATTATTCTCACATTTATACAATAGAATCGTATGATCGTTTATTATATCTATATACACAAGCAAATAACAGCCATTTAAAATTGTGAGGTCGATGAATATGACACTTTTTTCAATTATTTATAGATAATATGCATAGAAAAAAAAATATAAAATTGAGGTATACATCTCTTTTACAAGGTAAATTGGACGACAGTTTTTTTTAATAACCTCACTATTTCTCATATTCTTATCAATTATATTGATACATCTCAAGTATATACGAATATATGTATATTATCTCTAGTGAGTATATTGGTGTTTGAATATAATTATTTTTATTCTAGATTATCTATCTATCTATATTTATACATATATATTTATATATCTATATAATATAATAATTAATGAATGAAATATCATCAATCTCAACAATTGATCAAAAAATGGCTGAGATGCGTATTAAAAATTTGGAACTACTTAAGCGTCATCAGGTTTGCACATGAATACACACTAATTATTTGTTTGGTGCACATATATAGAGAGAGACACGGGAAAAGATAGTCGACGATTGATATTTATCGAGTAAAAGGCCTATTCTTTCCCTTCTATGTTCTATATTCTCTCGAATGTCATTACAATAAATGAGAGATTTTTTTTGACAATGTCTTTCTCTTCTTCTTCTTCTCTCTGTCTTTTCTCGCTTATAATAAAGAACATGCACACATATAGAACGAAGGATATAGAGTTTCAGCGTTCGCTATGAGAATACGTTATACATTGGCAACTATTGTGATTACTTACATGAAATAATGTTTTTTCTTCTTATTCTTCCTGATGCTTTATTATCTTTTGCCTTCTTTGCATTCTATTAAATGAATCTTACCTCTAGAAAAAAAAGTCGTGTCCTATTTCTATAAATTAATATTATCCGCTTTTTTTCTTCTATCTCAAAGGAAATCGAAGAGGATCGACAACTTGCCGTTCAAACGGGTGCAATAACAACAACAAATATTGTTGAACCTATCAAAGATAAAAAAGCAATGAGAAGTGTAAGATTTATAAGAAACAATTTGTATATACACGTTCATCTATTTGCTGATAGGCAACAAAAAATCGTACAAGAATACCAACAAATCAGTTAAATACTCAGGTATTTATTTTCTTCATCTAAATATTAAAAATAATAAATTCGTTTTTAGGAAAATCAATCTGAACGATTACAACGACCACCCATACGAAGAAAATTTGAAATTGTATATATTTTTCATTTTTTTTGTATCTAAAATATATTTTTTATTCTTTTATCCAAGGTTCGTAATGATACACAACAACCTCAACGTGCACAACGTATTGATTATAATCGTTTAAAACGTGAACATGCACAAGAAATCAATAATCCGAAACCAAATAATAATAATAATTCAATTAATCCTGATTTACATCAATATGCATATCCATTCCATAAGCAATCAATAAATAATAATAATGGTATGATATAAGTACATTATTTTTAATTATATGTTAATAGTCTTCATTACTTTCGAGAAGAAAAAAGATAATACGAATCTCGAGTTTTATTTTTCTCTTGTATTCTAACAAACAAAGAAATTCATTTTATGCGTATAGATGCCGACGAACCGGCACACGCAAAAAGACTTGTTATTGTTAATAATAAAGGTATGTTATATTCATAAAATGAATTGCTGCTTCTTTCTCACATATCAGCTTGTTTTTAATCGTGCATGATGGGATTGAGAATGCTTGTAAATCAGCTGATTAAATGCCCCTGAACGCAACACAAAAGTCATGTATGATATAGTTATATACATATGTATATGAAGACAAATGTTAGATATACCTGGATGTTCGATATATACGTTTGTGTCATCACTATCGATATACGAAAAGAATAGAGAAGAAGAAGAGAAGAAAGAGAGTGATGAAATAGTATTATACGAGACGAAGCAATGCACACTCCGTTATAGATCATCGATTCGATTAGAGTCAACAGACAACGTTTCGTTAAGTAAGTAAATTATCTTTAACGAAAAAAGCAAAAAAAAGAAATTTTCGTTTATCTTAATCATTGCATGTTGTTTTATTGCCATGTATTATATATTTGTTAATTGTTCAGTTTGATAAATTACAAAAAACTTTCTCTTTATTTAAGCTGATAAGATTGGTAGTGGTCGATTTAATCAACAGCAACGAGCTCAAGAACAGGGACAACGTAAAAGAGAAGGTTAATATTTTTTTTCGTTTTTTATTACCTTGAATTTTTAATTGATGTATTTATAGAACGAATGCGTCGATGTACAGTACAAAATAACGGGCATCCAGGAGGAGGTACTAATGAATTTCATCTTGATGTACCACCAATGCCAATTTGGCAAAATAATCAAATGCATGTTCAATTATTACCAACAAATATAAATAATCATCATACAGGAATAGATCATCTTATTAATACTAGTGGAGATCAATTAGATCGTAAATAAATTATTTTTTTTGAATTAGAAACATAAAACACATCTTTGTTGTTTTTTAATTATATATAGAATCTGCTTATATTCATAATTTTGTTTATCCACCTCCAGCTCAAGCATCACCATTCAATGGTAATGGTACTGTTTATTTTGCTCATCCAGCTCCACCTCCTTCATCTTCTTCTCAACAACCACCACCATCACAAACACATTTCCATCAATATCATTCAGCACGTACATTTGAAAATAATAATCGTCATCAATTTCAAATACCTTCATTTCAAACATCACCCATTTTTCAACCGCAACAACAACAACCACCACCAGCTGTATTATCTACATCGAATAATTATCAACAACAAGAAACTTCACCAACAGATGTAACACCTCGTTTTCGTCATATAAAAACCCCCGAGCATGAAAATAGACCATCACAAACAAGACCAATGTCTGGTGATTTTGAACGTTTACATAATAGTCATCATTTATCATCGACACGTTTCAATAATAATAATAATAATAATCGTTTTCAAGCTCGTCCACAATCATTTTATGATTTTTCATCAAATAATAACAACAACAACCAGAATAATTTTTTTCATTCATCAAACAATAATCGTTTTCAACGAAACATTAATAATAATAATAATATCAATAATAATAATACAAGCCTTCCACTTTCTGCTTATATGAATACAGATGATTCATTAAATGAAAACGAAAATATGAATAATAATAATACACATTGGGGTACATCATCATATCAACGACGACGATCTATACAAAATCAGCAACAACAGCAACACCAACAACAACAGCAACGAACATATCATCAAGATAAACATCAATTTCCATTATCATCTTATGATCCACGTCAATATGGTTTTGATAATAATTATCAACGAAAAAATAATTTTAATAATGGAATAAATACAAATCGTCGTAATATAAATAATAATCGTAATAATAATGATATGAATAATTCTAATGATATTGATCTTATTGAAGAATGGTGGGAAGATAATAATACTGAATTAATCGGTACAAATCAATCTATAACAAATACAGATATGCAAACAAAATCAACAACAGTTATAGATGATAGTGGTAATAGTTCATTATCGACAAGTATGAATTTAAAAGAATCAATATCAGATGATTTTAATAATCCATTATCTGATGTATCAACGACCGATAGTACGTTCTTATTTTTTATATGTCAGAAGGAGAAAAAAGAACACGTTTTTTTTCTCGTTCAGGTAATATTATCGAATCACTTGATAAACTTCAACAAGAACTTAAATTAGAAGAAGCTGTTGATGAACGATTAGCAACAACAAATCATGATAATCTCGAAACAATCAATAGTACATCCAATAAAGAAGTAAGGTTTATTATTAACACAAATATAATATAAATAAAATTTTAATATTATCATCTATCAGCCAACAACATATGATACAGCTCATTTTATGCAATGGGCAAAAGAAAAGTTTAGAGAGGAATTAGCAGGTCGACTTACCGCTCAGGTATGACACGAAATAAAAAAAAAAACAACAACAGCAAAGAATGAGCATGACAATAAATTGATTTTTTTTAATTTTTTTCGCATGTTTGCATGGCTTTTTGTATTTTTTTAAAATTGATTTCGTACTATAAATAGAAGAAAACAATATTTTATTATATTTACAGGAAATTCAACAACATGATGCTGCAACAACTGATGATGATGATGATGATGATGATGATAATAATAATCAATCGACAACAAATATTATTGAAAAAATGGATGCACTTGAGGATGATCTTCATGAAAAATTAACCATCGATGAACATCAATCAAATACAAATGAATCGATTGTTGTCGAATGATATATCTGAAGAAGAAATAAGAGATTTGTTATTTTATTCTTTTTTATTTTCTTTCTTGTATACATACGTACATGTAGAGAACTAAGTTTTATTGTTTTGTTTTGGGTTTTGATTTTTATCTTTTTCTTTCTATCTTTCTTTTTTTTCTGTAAACTTTTATGATGATCATTTGAACATGGATATACATGACGTCAATCGTTGAGTATTTATTTATTCGTTAGAAAAAAAAAGAAATATTAGATGATGTAGAATAAATGGCTGTGATTCATGAAAAGTCTTTTACATTTAGACTATAAATAAATTTATACAGATTCGTAGCAATTACATATATTAACATTCGGATGTGTCTTGAAAGTTTTAAAATAAAATATTGATATATTGTGATGTATCAAGTTTTGGTTTCGAAATTAAAGCAGAGGATTATGAATATCACGATCAAATAACATTATCCGAGACCTTCACTTGTTCAAGATAAATTTCTCGCATATTGATTTTTTTCCTTGCAGTAGATGTGATTCAGTTACATTAATCTTTGTCATAAATATTGACAGGTAAGAATTTAGTAGTTATGAAAAAGAAAAAATAATCCTCTTATTGAAATAGATTTAACTAATAATAAGAAATTCTAAGTGAAAGATCTTATTTTGAATTTTCATTTCACTATCAAATATTTAATATAGTGCTACCTAGAGTGATGCTCGACTAAAGCCTAGTCATACATAAATAGGGACAACCACATAATAACATTTGTTCAAAAGTAAGGTTTTTATATCGTACGGTATACTCAGTTCTATACGTAAATGAAAATAATATATCTAACCGTCGTAAATCTTCGTTTAAAAATCGTATTGATCATTTATCGCGCTATGCTTTTATAAATATTTTTACTAAGATTTTAGTCATTATTGATTCTACTCAATAAAAACTACATCTGCTATTATTAAGAGATAGTTTCTTGAATTCAACTTTGCTGAAAAAGACACCCAGCATATATAACAAGAAGAAAACTATTACATAGTATATGAAAAAAATGATTTCCAATAAGTGAAGACATTAATTTATCTTTGCCATTACTATATTGTGTAAATGTATATCTTATAGTTTTTTTAAGGTATAACAACAACAAAATACTTTTATATATAGAAAAAATGATTCATTTTTCTTTTAACAATCAACTGTTACGTGATTAAAAGTATTTATGCAAAATATACCACTTTACATTTCTTTATGTTATTACTATTGACATAATAAGCGTTCTGTAAATCTATTCATAGAAATTCATTACGTGTCGTTATATTATATTGCATTAATTTTTTCAAAATGCTTTTTTATTAAAAGAAATTTTCAATTTTTCGTACTTTACATTTACGAATACGAAACACTATAGAAATATCGAAAGCCTTTCTGCGATGGAAGTCATATTCTCATGTTGTTGTTTCGATAAAGCAATTCAATGCATCTGAAAAAATCTTCTCATATTTCTCTCTAATAAAAAATCATATTGTCGTTGTCAAACTTTTGATTAAAAATAATAAGCATATTGCACGCAGTTTGTCATACATTCTTTTACTATCGATAACTATAGAAGTAGTAATATTACGGGTGACACAGAAAGAAAACGGCATCGATAAGACTTCTATTCATACATATATCAAGCTGAGTTCAAATACTTTGTAGTAGTAATTACATGATGTAGATGAGAATAAATACTTGAGGGAGCTTAGTTAAATTCATCTTTGGAGTTTGATACTACCCACTCAGACATATGTTGAAAGAAAGGACGTTTTTACGCGTTAGAAAACAACTTTTTTTTTCAGTGAAAATTGACTTTCGCATCGTTAACGCTTACACAATTGTTTTTTTAGCGCATAAAAATGTGCGTTTTTTACGTTTAAAAAAGCATTGTTTGACTGGTTACCGTTAATACGCATATTTTATATTTTTCAGATAATTTATCTGATTTAAATTATCTCTATATGGTTAGAAATATTGCATTGATAACATTGACCATATTATATACAGGAATGATAATAATAATCATTTCTCTATATCAAAACAATCGATCTCAATTGACATCACTACTCTACCAAAAATTTAATAGTTCGAATATTATATCAACGAAATCTTCTCAATACATATGGTGTGTAAATCATTATGGTCCAAATAATCAATTAAAAGATTTTATCAAATGTTGTATTATAGCAAAACTGAATAATTATACTATAGTCATACCTCCATTATATCCACATTATGGTCGAAGAAAAACACGATCTATTCAATGGTTTGATGAATTTTATGATTTAAAACAATTGAATTTAGTTGTTAATTTCATAACACTTGATCAATTTATAGCAAAATTTAAGACTAATAAAAATAAAGTAATGATAGATTGTTATATTCGACAAGCGGAATTAATTTCAAATAGAATGTGGTATCCGATGAATACTCTTGTATCGATTCAGAATTACTTTAAAATAAAAATCGATTTTTATCGTTATGAAAATATTTCTCGAAATTTAAATATGAATGAAATATTGAATAAATCTAAAAAATGTTCATCTATATTTCTCCATATCCATTATACAGCATTTGGACAATATTTCTCATCTCCTAATATTTATATACAACCCATTTTTCAACATCTACATCGTACTCCATTAATTCAACGTATGGCATCACAATTAATAACATTATTACCAAATTTAGTTGTTGGAAAAAATCATTCTCAAGCTAAACTCTCAAAACTCGCTGTTATTCATATGAGACTAGGTGATTACAATGTTATGAGTTTATCGAATTACATTCAGCAAATATTATATCTAATTAATAGTAGTGCTCATTTTACACATCTACATATAATGTGTCCATATTTAACATCTACAAATATAAAACAATTAACTGATAGTCTTCCAATTGCATTCACTACTACACAGCATTTATTAAATTATGTACGTTTTATATTGGATGATTATTTATATGATGTATTAGAACAAGAAATAGCTTATCAGGCACCGATTTTTATTGCATCACCTTGGTCAACTTATTCAGCAACAGTTTTAATACAAAAAGTCTATCATAAAAAAGGAATTGTATATGTATCATCGAAAAAGAATAGTAGTCGACCACTTCTTGTGACAGAAAAAAAATGTAAAATATTTCAAATAGTATATTTTATATAAATCGAAAGTAAAATTCACTGTTAGTAATTTATTTCATTTTTTCAAACAAAACTACCATAAAAAACTAAAAATGAAATAAAAACAATAGACTATATGTCCTATTTACTCAAGCCCAGTTTCAGTTCCACATATAATTACTTCAAGACCTAATGCTTGAAAGCAAGCTGCTTTAACAGCAAGTGCTTTTTGTGCAGCTTGAACATCAGGTACATATGCAACTTGTACATGATTAGCTTTATGTTTAGCCATCATTTGATCTCGTGTAATACCAAGTAATTGTGCATGCATCATCGGCCATTGTGGTGTTGTATCACGCCAACGTCGTTCAGTTTCCTCACTTGGTAATTCTACAGCATGTGCACGACCAATATCGACTTTCAATCGATTATCCTCTATATAAACACGACTCCAAATAACTTCGCCTGGTTTTGATATACCACGAATTGTACCACCACCTTTTTGAAAATACATTGGTGGTTGACGTACACTAATAGCACCTTTATAACCACCAACTAAATGTTCAGGTGGAACAGCACCAGATATTTCAAAAACCCATGTAAATATTCCATTATAATCTTCTCCATAACGTACATCATGTAATGTTGTTTCTGGTGAATAACCTAATTGTTTCCAAACACGATTTGTAATTAATGCATCAATACCAGCACATTCATCAACTTCATTAAAATGTGGTAGAGCTGCATCTGGATAAAGGTCATATGCATTTGTACGATCTTTAACAGGCGGTCGATCAACATTATTAAGTAAACCTTCGGCAAGATCTGATGCTGGTACTAAATCTTTTAAACCTTGTTGATATTGTATTCCAATTAAATCACAACCGAAATCATCTGCTAAACGTACGGTAGCAATATACATTTTACATTGTCAAAGAATTTGATCATCAGTTAAATCTTTTGAATCAATTTGTTCTTCTGGAATTATAAATGTCATTTCTTTTCGTTTTAACCATGCATATACAGCACGAGCTTCTTCATCTTTTGTATTTTGCATTTCATAATAAAGTGCTGATTGACTAAGACGTTCTTTAAATATACCTAATTTATGTAAAAGTTCATCAGGTACAATAGCATTATACATTCCCATACAACCCTAATAGAAAGAAAAATTTAACAAAATATTATCAAGAAATATAAAAAATTTATACTTCATCAAATACACCCATAATTGCTTTATTTTTCAATAAATCTTCCGCAATTTTCTTTCCAATTTCTTCGTATTCACTCGATATTTGTTTACATTGATTTAATGATCGTATGTGAGATATATCATGTTCAATTGTACCATTCTCAAGCCATTCTTTGAGTTTATTCAAAAAAAAATTCATCGGTAAAATCAACAGACCATAATGTACTATATTTAATATTTGCTTTTGTTAATGAACCATTTAAATTAAGCATACCAACAAGACCAGGCCATTGTCCACTCCAATTTGCTACAGTTAATATTGGACCTTTATGTGTTGTTAAACCAGCTAGAACATGATGAGAATATTGCCAAACAGCTTCAGCAACAATTAATGGTACATTATCTGATGGTAAATTAGCAAATACTTGCATACCCATACGTTGACTATCAATAAAACCATGTTTTTTTATTTCATCATATTCATGTGCACGTTTTATTGTATGATTAAATGATTGAAAAGTTTTATTAAGAGCTTTTTCAAGATTATCTTGTGCTTCCCAACATGTTTGATTGGCAGCTAAACGAGAATCTCCACTTGCAACTAGATAAGTTGGTGATTGAATTACCATATTAATAGAAGAAAAACAAATCGATTAAACGTTCTATACTATATTAATACGATAGACATAATTTTATTTCTTTTTTCTTGATTAAGCAAATACAGTATCACTTCTTCTTACATATAAAAACAAAAAACGATGAAGAACAAGTGAAGAAAAAATATAGCAAAGTTAATGAAGTACAACGCCACACGTGTATCTTCAAAGAGATAAGCAGATTGTCGTAAATGATAAGACAAATTTTTTTTTATGGTATATTAAAAATGCTTATCTAAATTCAATGTCCTTCATATTATACCAAAACATATTCTCTTTCATGAATTAATTAGATATTGATGATCTAGTGAACGAAAAAATAATAATTGTAATATGATTATCATAATAAAAAATTTGATAGTTTATTCGTTTATGAGCGTCATCTGTTCGAAAATATATATCAGTCATTCGATATATCTCTTTGTTTATTTAATGACAATATCCAATCAGTATTATTCGTAATCAATTCGCTGTAACCTATTTATATTAAATACACCCTAAAATTATCATTAGACAAAAGAAAACAAATAGTTGGTTTCTATAAATAACTAAAAGGAAGGAAGTTTGATGGCAGATAATAATACTACTCGTAATTCATTTTGTAAATGTAAATTTGAAATTTAATAATTATCATTGAAATATTAAGTTCTATTTAGCTCGTTCGCCAACAAATTCATATCTTCTACAACAACAAACATCATTATCACCATCAAATAGTCCAAACAATAAAGGAAATAATAGTTTATCTCGTGGGCGTCAATTGTGGAATATAGCTATTGAAAATGTACTTGAACATGAAAAAACACCACCAATATCATTATCACTGGTATCATCAGCGGTTGATAATGAACCTATTGGATGGCATAATTTAACAAAGCGGTAATTTTTTTGTTTTTTCGTATTATTTCACGTAATTTAGTAGTTTTTTCTTTTCCATCGAAAAGTCAAGAGATAATAATATAAAATCAGATTATTAATGTATAAAACCAGTTGATTGATTTATTCAAATTCTCAAGGGAAATCCTTTTTTACAATGATAATAATCTATCGAAAAGAACAAACGAATAAAAAAAAGAAAGCGAGGTCGATATGGTGATGTTGATTGTCGACGGCAAGCGTAAGGCCAAGGAAAAAAGAGAAAAAAAGAAAAAAAAAGCAGTCTAAGTAACTAGTTTGTTTGCATACTTACACGCATGGAGTGTAGATTGGAATAAGAATAAGAGTTTTTTTTTGTTCCTATCAACATCTATTAACGTGCATATAAAGAAACTGTGACTTTATTTATTTAATATATATATTCATTTAACGAAATTTTCTACAAAACTATTAACTAATAATGATATGTCATCATCTTTATTGTCATCAACACGTTATCATTTATTGACTTGTGATACTGAGGAAAATCAAATTATGGAAAAATATCATGAAAAACAAAAACATGATTATTTACATGCTTCTGCATCTGCTCCTACAATTGTTAATAATAGTGATTTCATATGCGAGTCAAAAAGGTGAGAGTAATATTTATGATTTATGTCTAATATTAGGCAAATGACTAGGATGTTTTATGTTCTAATGAACTTTTATGTTGGGTTGTTAATTCTATGTATTAATGTCCTTGTCAATACGAGAATATTAAATGATAAATAATAGTACAACTATCATTTCGTGTATAGTAGAGGCAAATATTGCTGATAATCTACACACATGTCGACATGTAATTTATATATTACAAGAAACATTCTTATTGTCTTTTATATTAAATGAGAGAAAAGAATGTAGACTATAGAGAATGATCTTTAATCACATCCGGGAATATTCTATTAAAAACGAGCATAATGAGATAGTTTTTATCATTCTTTTACTATTAGAAAAAAATAGTCTATGACAAGAAAATTCTAATTATCTATATTTTTTCATCTTAAGCACTGAACCTGTCATATCATTAGTGTTACCTGAAGAGATGAGTTTCAAACTAAAAAAATTTATATGCGATGCTGTTCTTTTCTACTGAAAACGGTAAAAAGTATCTTGAAGAGTATCCTTTTATTTATTCTAATAAATTTCAAGTCACATATCTTTTATTAGAGAAAATAAATCTAACTGATGTCATCTCTTTCTTTTGTCTCGAAATTTTCTTTCTATTAAAATAGAAATCTCTCAAGCTATTTTTATCGTTCTATTATAAAAGCATATAATCTGACGTTTATATTCTAATATAGAAATTATTTATTCATTAGTAACTTGATTTACTATTTTTGTAAACGATACATTTTACTGAGGTAAAAACGCATATATAAACAAGTAAAATATAGATGGCTGAAAATAATGATGATGATGATGATCAGCAACAACACGAAATGTTTCCGATAAGGAATAAAAGGCGACATTTCTCCTATATTCCTGTATCATCAAATGGTTTACTTCTTAAACGATTATCTGAAAATCATATGACAATGTCTCCTATAAGAAAGAGACGAACTGTATCTGAACAAATCAACTATCATGATCGGTAGATAAATAAAATAGAAAAATATTCGTGTTTTTTTTCCTGAATAAAAATAGCTCATTCTTATCATATTCTCTTTTTATATTTTAGTGTAATGCAGTTAAATGCTAGTCCAACATTAGCAGCGGCTGCTGCTGCTGCGGATCCAGCATTACACAAAGATAATTGGCAACAACGACGTTATAATTTTCTAAGTAAAAATAGTATGTTTGGTGGAGAATTAAAAGATGAAGTTGTTAATGAACAAGGCACTGATGTTGAACAAAGGTAAGTAGAAATTTACAAAGAATATTCATCGAAAAAAAAACAATCTGATGTATTCTAGACCAATTATTGGACCATTACAAATGAAAACATCAGGTAGTATGGATTCTGAAGTATCGAATACTAAACGTGAATCAATTTTGGGTATGGCTGTCAGCGGTGTTCGTAATCTATTAGTTGTACGTATTATAGTATCATTTTGTTATTTTATATATGATTAAAAACTATTGAAGGTAGACGAATTGTCACGTAAAAAATCCATTCGTGCATCTACACCATGCCTTGAGGTTAATAGTAATATCTATGCTGATGTCTGTGCGTGTGTCTATGTTATTTTATTTGTTTAAAATTAGAAAGAAAATATGTTAATTAATATATTTATGTATATATATATATATAGGAAAATGATGAAGATGAACAGGTTACTAATGGTGATGTGTGTTTAAAAAATATTGTATTAACAAAACAAAATTTAAATGAATCAACTGCTTTAGATGAACATGATGAAGTAGATGCACCCGCTTGGTAAAGAAAAACATACTGAAAAAAACCTATTAAAATAATTTTTTTGTCAATCATTTTTAGTACACAATGTACACAAACGGATAATGATCTTCCTACACTTCCAAAAAATAGTAAATATTTATTTATTTATATAACTATATGAGAGAAAATATTGATTATATAGATATAGTTCAACATGGATTATTAAATAAAATATTTTCTCATAAACATCATCAATCAAAAAAGAAATTTGGTATTCAAGAATCATATCGTTCTCATCGTCCTTATTTTACTTATTGGGTGACATTTGTACAAATTCTTGTTTGTATTGTATCGCTAATTGTTTATGGTTATGCTCCATTAGCATCAACACAATCTGTAAATGACAACAAGAAAAAAAGGAAAGAAATAATCTATTCAATTTTCTTTTAGAAAAATGCAAGCATATTTGAACAACAACGATTTGATCTAACAATGAATCCATGGTTTGGTCCATATCCAGCTGATTTAATTCGTTTAGGTGCAAAATATACTCCATGTATGCGTAAACATGATGAAGTTAATAGTCGTTATGAAAAACAAGCCATATTAGAAAGTATATCGGGTTGTTGTATTGATTCAATAACAAATCGTTGTATGCAAACACTTTCACAACAATGTCTTGTAAGAAATTCTTCAGTTGATTAAGATAAGATAAAGAAATGAATTTTTTGTATTTTTAGCCACGTGCTGGTTTAACATGGCAACAAATACCATTCAAAAGTAAAAATATCAAAGAAGCATCGAATGTAATTTATCCAGCTGTATGTGGTCTAACACCAGAGTAATAAAAAAAATTTTATTTACTAGATGAAGGTTTATTTCTTTTTTTTTCTTTCTAGAACTTGTACAAAACGATTAATGGGAAATATACCACGAGAAGATGAAAGTTCATGGACATCGACAATAGTTGATTCAAAAGTTCTTAAATGGTCTCCAAATGTAGTTAAATGGCCGGTATGTTCTATATTATTACGATTGATTCCTACATTTTCAATTTTTAGATTTGTCTAGAACAAAATTATGATCGAATAGCAAATAATATATCTCTTTATCCTCATATGCAATGTGTAAATATAGGTATATTTTAATATAATATTTCACTAGGAAATAATTTATTTATTTTCTTATAGCAAGACCTTGTTGTACTGGCGTACTCGGTGATTGCGTGTTAACATCAAGAGATGATTGTATACGTCGACGTGGTATTTTTCATCCACGAGCACATTTATGTTCTCAAGTAAAACAAATTCATTGTTTTTTTTCTTTATTTAAAAGGAAAATCTATTTTTTAATATTAGGTTGATTGTATACAAAGTGTTTGTGGTATGCTGGAATTTTTTGTTGGTAAATAATTAACTAGATTTTTGTTATATCATATACATATTTTCGATATTTAAGTTCGTGTTCCTGATCAAGTTTATCGTTTTTGGATTGTTATTTTCATTCATGCTGGGTAAAACTAATTTTTTTTGTCAATCGCAATAAATCTATATTTTTTTATCTATTTAGTTTAATTCATTTAATAATTACAATCATATTTCAATATACAATAATGCGCCCGTTAGAAAAATTAGCGGGTTGTATACGTGTTATGATTATCTATGTTGTATCAGGTTTTGTTGGAAGTTTAGCTAGCGCTTTATTTTTACGAGATTCAATACAAGTTGGACCTGGTGGTAGTCAATTAGCTATACTTGCTTGTTATTTAAGTGAATTATTTCTTGGTTGGCGATCATTAAAACGTCCATGGATACCATTTTTTAAAATAATTATATGTTTATTTCTTTTATTAACTGTTGGTTTATTACCCTTAGTTGATAATTATTCTCAATGTTTTGGTTTTCTTATTGGTTTTATGTTAAATATGATTGTTTTTCCTGATGTTAATTTTCGAAAAAATGTTCGTCGTCTTGTTGTTGTTACAACATCATTAGCTATAACAATTGCTTTATTTATTTCATTGATTGTACTTTTTTATACAGTACCATTTAAATGTGCATCATGTAAATTATTTAATTGTCCATTTGGAAAGATTTGTGGGAACGAAAAACGCGATCTCGTATAGAAGAAAAAAACGTACTTTATCGGTCAGATAGAATATTCTAATAAATTGTATGTGTTCTTTTTCAATGAATAAAATAAATGTACAAAATAGTAAACGATTGTAGTAACAAATATATGATTACATTAACAGACAACAAAAATGAAGAAGAAGATGAAGAAAGAAGTTTGATGTTATTTGTTTGTATAAATTGTTCAATAGATTTAGCAATGCGTATTGCTTCGAGTTTAATTGAATTAGTTCTTAAACGTTCGATTGGATAGGAAAAAAGAATTGCATTAAATCGCTGATCAGCATGCGTTCGAGTTGAATAAGTTGATAAACGATATCCAATTTGTCTTTGTTGCTGTGATTGTTCTAAAGGAATAACATATTTAAAGCCATTAAGACGTAAAAAATGTCCAAAGGAATTATTTCCTAAAATAACACTTGGACCAGAACGTGAAATAAGTTCATTCATTGTCGATTGAATTGGTTTGCCAGCAATTGATGAATGTAATGGATCGTAACCATATCCAAGTTGTATTGTTTGTGAATTTCGATGAAATATAAATTCAATTAAAAGACCACGTGACGGTGGACGTATCGCTTCTTTAGCCATAGCGATCAATCGATGATAATCAATATATGTACGAGTAGCACTTTCGATTAAAAATGTTCCTAGTAATAAATCTTCGGCAGGATCAACATATTGACGAGTTAATTTATTTAAAATTGTATGTGGGCGATAGTGTGATGCGAATACTTCCGATATAGCTTTTGTTAATAAATACATCGATAATGTTGAACTACGATTGGTAACACATCTTGCATCAGCTCGATAGGAAAGTTCATTTTTATATGATTTTAAACAATCTTGTATTGTATATACACATCGTTCTAAAGTATCATTATAACAACCGGCTATTGGTAATTGTTGTAATGTAGTTATTAATATTTCATTATTCCGTGATTTTTTTCCAGTGTTTTTCGATGTTAAATTTGCACCAAGAAAACCACCATGGGGCGATGATAATATAAGATTTGTTAAACTACCTCCACGATTAAATTCAATTAATGATAAATAACTTTGATCATCGGAATCTTGACTAAAATATGATGTTAAATTGATGATAATAATTATGAATAATCTTGTGTCGAAATGCATTGGAATAAGAAGGAGAAAAACGTTAATTAACTACCTTATGATTGTTAACATTTATCTAGAAATCAATAGTTATATAAGTATAATCTAAGCGGTTTTCCTCGCCTCTTTTTTTTTCTCTATGTTGATATATGCACATGGATTATAAAAAAAAATAAGAAGAATAGTTTTTCCTAGAAAGAAAAAAAAAGAGAGTTACTCTCGAGCAATCGTGATGTGGAGGGGAGAAGGAATAATAACAAAATTCTCTCTTTGTGAACTGCAAAGTACGCGGAAGAGGACGAAGAAAAAAAACAGAACTGCCAGTTGCCACATATATAGCTAACAGTCGAGTTGTTGTACTATCTACGTAGTATGCCAAGGCTGACAGACATACAAATAATGGTCTTGTCATGTGGTTACGTCCTTGAAAAAGAATTCTTAGAGGAAAATCATATGCACGTTATAAGAAGACTTTTACTGCTGGAACTAGTCTTTGTACGTGATACTGTAGATCCATCAGTCATAAATATCAAGTTTTTGTTTATTCATTTATTTAAACTTTAGATTATTTTTCTTGATAGAAAATTAGAGATATGTCAAAGCACATTGGACGTCGACTATCCTAATATAGATATCATATAGATAGATATATTTTGTCTTTTTTGTTGTTATGAGATAACACAAACACAGCGATCGTGTTATTAGATATCAGACAGCTTATTGACCTTGTGCTGGCAAATGATACTAATAAATATATGATTGACAACAAGGGATCAATACGTTTTCTTTTATCTATTTTCATAGACAAAGATTGATCTCATCAGGAGGTCCTTATCATAAGATAATTTAAACATACTTACATGATTTCTTCTATTTTGAATTTTGTCTATCTCCTATTGTAGTGAGATCATTAAATGAACTATTAGTTTAGTAATCATGTATACAAGTCTTATCTTTATGTGTGTATGTATGTACATTATTATCTGTGTCTATATTCTCTCTATATAAAAAAAATGATGTTGAAGAGAATGTCAAGCATGATTAACAAGTATAGTCATTATATTTCAATAAACGAAACATTAGAAAATGAAATTTACACTTTTTCATTCGATAAAAGGTAAAAAAAGAGAACGGTATATGTTACATAGAATTGACTGAATCATTTATCATGAACAGTCGATTAAAATCAAAAGTATCTTTGTTGTATTATCATTATTCAAATGTATAATCTGTACGATCAAATTCTTTAAAAAAGATGTAATACATCATTATGTTGGCAATGTACTTATTTTCCATAAGGAAGTTACGTAACTGTAACAAACGGTCGTGTCGTATTCTGCATAAATAAGT